TTCTGAAAAATGTTCTAGGTAGCACTCAAAAGGGTTCTATTGTGATATCAAGCTTGTAACGTTTCACATATACTACCTACACTCATCTGTATGTTATTTTTTCATCCCTTGTTCCTTCAATAGACTCCCATTCATTTTTACCCCAACACAAGCCCTGTTATTTCCTTTGACCGACAGTCACCAAACTGCATGTACTCACTCAGGGCAGGTACCCAAGTTCTGACCCACAGCCATACTGACCAACACCCCTCTATGTGTTTTCATCCTTCGTTCATCGTCATCCTTCGTAGACTCATCACTCTTACCACATACCATAGCACCCACTTAGCAATGGTGTAGCAACAGCTTAGTGGCAAGTAAAGGCCATGTATAATTTATATATATATATATATATATATATATATATATATATATATATATATATATATATATATATATATATATGTCGCTGTTGTTGAAAGAAAACCTCATATCTCCAAAATGGTAACTTTACAGGAGAAGGAAAAAACATACTTTACTTTTAATGTAAGTCAATGGAACCAGACGTTTTTCTAAGTAATTTTGAGCCGTTTCTTTTGGTCCATACTTCATGAAATTTACAGACAATGTAAAGAGCAACAGTTATTTTCACATTATGTCAACTACAGGAAAACAACAAAAATGGAGATACGAGGTTTTCTTCTGACAGCAGCGATACACACACACACACACACACACACACACACACACACACATATATATATATATATATATATATATACATTTTTATATATATTGTATTTATGTTGAGCTTGTTAACACAGATTTGAGGTTGTATGTTTTACAGTGGCTCCTTACAGTGAAGACCCTGCCACAGAGCTTCTGCCACTGTTTTCTATTTCTAACAACTAACCGAATCGTATTTACAGTCCAAAACTCATAGAAGGTCTTAAGAGATGTTTTTCTCATGAAACTGGTTCCATTCATTCTAAGTTGAAATATCGATTACTCTATCAGTCACTAATTATGTTAATAGTTAATCCAACATGTAAGGCCTTCACTTCAGCTCCTGAATTCCCAATCAACAGGAGAGCTCTCTTAGCTGAAAAATCCTGATTGGACAATTTTCCATTCGGCATTTCAAGATCATAACCTCTTTGTTTCCAACCCAATTTTTAAAAATGTGTTAATTATAGTTTTTTGTTTCTCCACAGAAATCACAAGAATATTTGAGCTTGCATAATCACCAGCTCGCCCGCCAACGAAACATCTGAGGAACAGGGCTTGAGAGGCATGCTGAATAAGGCTTTGAAAAAGGCAATTTAGAAGCGTCACTTAATATTTATTAACTATTCTTTTGGGCTTTTGATGCTGCCTTGGTGGGATGTTTCTTGTTTCTGTTGGCAGCGGCACATTATTATTTGGGTTATTTTGAAGATATATTCCATTATTTTGTCTGGGAGCCAATTATGTTCCTTCAATAGACTCCCATTCATTTTTACCCCAACACAAGCCCTGTTATTTCCTTTGACCGACAGTCACTAAACTGCATGTACTCACTCAGGGCAGGTAACCAAGCTCTGACCCACAGCCATACTGACCAACACCCCTCTATGTGTTTTCATCCTTCGTTCATCGTCATCCTTCGTAGACTCATTTATTTTCAACAACACCTAGCAACCGCTTGGCACCCTAACAACCACTCAGTAAACACCCCTCTTACCACATACCATAGCACCCACTTAGCAATGGTGTAGCAACAGCAATTTAGAAACGTCACTTAATATTTATTAACTATTCTTTTGGGCTTTTGATGCTGCCTTGGTGGGATGTTTTTCATGTTTCTCGTGGCAGCGGCACATTATTATGTGGGTTATTCTGAAGATATATTCCATTATTTTGTCTGGGAGCCAATTATGAGCTTTTAAAAATCCATTTCATTCCGTCTGCAGTGAACCAGCTAAAAGGGAAAAATCTGAACAGTATGTCCCTTAAATACATCCCATAATAAATAAAAAATGGCACAAGTAACTTTTCATGAGAGATATCGATACCTGCAAGTAGAGACAACCCATAAGTTTTATTTGTTCAATCAATAAAGCGGTACTTTTGCGTATAGAGAGATCATTAACTTAAGGCCTTGACTGATTTAATAAATAAAAGCAACAAACTACCAGGAGAGTTCAAAAATATTGTGTTAAACTGAAATGGTTAAAAAAATACAGGTACAAGGTTTTCCATGCAGAGAAGGTGCTCTGTACAGCAGGACGAACAGGCTGAAGGCACTCAGGTTACACAAACCTCAATCTCCAGCATGCATTAGCTTCGAGCTTCTCAGTGTCAGTCCATCTGCATTGATAATTTGTTGAAACAGGTTGAGTAGAGAAATCAGTGTCCTCCTTGAGCTGAATACGGTCATATAGCAGGAAAACACAGATGTAGAGTGTGCTGGGTTGAACCGAGAGACACTCCATTAGCTACAAGGGTTTGTTTCATTACAGTGCTGCTGCCACAATCATAAGATCATATAAACAATGCACTTCATGTCTTTCTATGAAAATAAGCCCTTTTCCTTCAACTAAAGGTATGCAGTACTGTGCAAAAGTCAGACCGCCTAACAACCACCTGGAAGACCTGGTAGACACCAAAACTGTCCCCCCATCAGATAAACAGCACTTAAAGCTTTCATCTCTGAGAGAGAGGAGAAAATCAAGCTGCTTCAGATCTGAAAACATCCACAGGTGTTTCTGTCCATCCTTCCACTGTGAGAAGACGACTCAGCGCTGTGGGTCTGAAAGGATGTGTAGCTGTTAAGAAGAACCTCACTGGGAAAAGGAGACGGACACATCAGATAAAGAAGCTGAACAATGGACTGACCACCCCAGAGTCCAGACCAACCAGATCAACCAGCTTCTAAGACTGAACTTTGGAGGTGTGGGAAAATAACCCAGCAGATTTACTGGAAATTAAATGAATGAAGGGTGGTCTCTGACTTTTGCACAGTACTGTATCTGCTGGTGTTTAGCCTGGTTGTATATGTAAGTGCATGTAGATCACAGAAGATACATGGAAAGCAATCCACTGATTTTGAAAAGAAAAAAAAAAAACAAAAAAACAGTTGATCAGTAATCAAATAACGACATAATCTCTCGGGGGCAGTACTGAAGAGGTACTTAGTCGTTTGAATAGAAGTCCTTCATTCATTGGGTTTTATCCAGGAGTTATTCAGAGTGTCGGGGTAAGAGAGCGGCTGTATGATCATCTGTGGAAAAGGCATAACGATCTGAAGTCAAATACTGCTCCTACGGAGAAATGACACCCCCAGGTTATCTAAGATGAGTTTCACCTGTGTCACCTGACAGAGTGGCTTAGATGGACCCGAATTATAGGAGAACTCCAGCGTTTCTCAACCTAATCTATCAGCCGCAGCTGTGGTAAAGGGTCAATTACCACAGATAATCGTTTTAATTTCATCACTGAAACAAAATTATAATCAGGGACGCATTGAAATTTCAGCCACTCGACATTTTCAGCCAAAAATGGTCAAAATTAGCAATTTGGTTTTCATTCAAAAGAGAAAAGGCCAAAAAAAACCCAACCAAAACATGAGATTCATAGGTCTCCAATGACATGTCAACATCTAACACTTAGCTAATGAAACTGGAAATGAGAAACAGTAATAAAATCGCTGTTTTTTTGTTTGTGGCAGCAGATCAAGAGGGAAAATTTCAGCCATTTGGAACTGAGATTAGTAAAGCGATTCATAATCTCTTTTCATTCTTTCATATTAAGGAGATGCAACACCCAAGAAGTTCTCCAACTCCTCTTCTACAGGTTTGATACCACTTGGGAATCTGACATCCAGGTCAAACAGAATGTAGCTAAACAACCAAAGCGAAAAGGACATTATTAAAAAATTCATAAACGACAAACAAAGAGCCAAAATATGACAAAACAAATGATGGAATTCACGGCCTTGGATGATCAACTGCTCACTGTTGTTGAGGACGCTGGATTTTGGTCTGTATTGTAATACTTTCGTTTTTTTTGTACTTATTGTCAGATCAGTTTTATCCTATAAAGAGGACCGATTTAAAAAAAAAAAAAACAAACTCAAATTACAGTTTTGGCTTTTGGCTGATTATGTTCTGAATTTCAGTTTCACTTTCATTTCTCTGAATCACTACTTACAGTAGGAGTCGGTGTTCAGGGGCTGAAGCTACGTACAGGGAAGTATGTCAAAATTACCGTGTGCTGATCAACTGTAAATGACAGATGCAGCAGACAGAGTTAAGGTTAGAAACCACAGTCAAAGCCTACACTCTTAAAAAAGATGGTTCTTCAAGGGTTCTTTATTATAGAAAATGGTTCTATATAGAACCTTGAACATTGAAAGAAGCCTTTGCATGATTAAAGTGTGCTTTGCATCGTTATAGGGGCTCTTCAGATTGATGGAGAATGTGTTTATGGTTCTGTATAGCACCAAAAAGGGTTCTATTGTTACGACGTCAAGCATGTAATAATAGAAGAACCCTTTTGGGTGCTACATAGAACCCTTTTCAGAAATGTTCTATATAGAACTATCCATAGCACGTTCTCCATCCATCTGAAGAGCGCTTTAACAATGCAAAGAACTCTTTAATCATGGTTCTATATAGCTTTACTAAAGAACCCTGTGAGAACCATCTTTTTTAGGAGTGTAGGCTGGAGCCATGTTCTCAAACCCGGCCTGATTAAAAAGTCCTCAGTGGAGTTGCGCTAACTTTAGGTTCTCAGTGTTGATGGAGTCTTTCTACTGTAAAATTTAGTCCTAATCTGCGATCTGATTCAGACTGGATTGGCTGGACTGGTGTAGGCAAGGGGGAGGGGCAGCATGTTGGCTGCAGGTAGGAACTAATCTCTCCAGGAGGAGCGCTGGAGATAGACGTAGGCTGGCATTGTGCCAGTAGTGCAATTGTGAAGCATTAGTGCAAACAGGAGGTGGCATTAATGACAGTTTCAACCACTGACATGGCTTCTCCTTCACTTTCTAAGCTTTTTATTTGTTTCATATGTTCTCATCAATTGAAACGTCCACTTAATTCACTTGCAGACTCTGGCTGGCCAAAAACAAACGGCTCCCCGTTGGGTTGACGCCAGACTGAATGCGGAGAGCAAAGTAAAGCGAAAGCTTGGCTCAGGATGGTTTTATCAGGCTAGTCCGTCAGCGGAGAACATCAAGGCATTTCAGGGATTCTTGTAGAGAAGTCCAAAGTCTATCATTATACCTCATCTGGGAGAAAGAGTGCTATTTATTGCTTGGTTTTGCCATTTTCCACACTCACTGAATAAGACAGGAGTGCTCAGCCCTGCTTTGGAAGCTTTACTTGCCCCACATAATTTGAACACTCGATTGCTGGTTTATTACGTTGGCATTCGCCTCTCTATTTGGTACACAGAAGCTTCGCCTTTTTCTAGACCTCAAAAATTTTAGCCTGACGTAAAATGTCTGAAAATGCTTTTATAGTTATTGTTAATATACAGAAAATATTTTAAAACGCTTGTTTAACTGAATGCACCAAAGCCATTCCATTATGTACGATTCTTAGTGCAAAAGTTATGATAAATGCGATGGAAGCACAAATTTGACAAATCGTTTTAAATGCGTAAGACAGTAATTCAGTACCAGCTTTGTCATGTAAACACTTCAGGCAGTAGCATCACCTTTATTTTCTCCCCATCTTCTCTAATTAAACAGTTTCACAGCAGGTTTAAACAGGTTTTGCACAAAGAGTAGATCTGTTTATTGTGACAAAATCACAATCAGAGGTTTTTGTCGCTGTATCAGAGAAGAGCCTCTTCCAGCACATCGTTAGTACAGCGCAGGAGCTGCTCTGAAACTACCACACCAATGAGTTTTTTTCACACCAATGAAAAATTATTGCTTTAAAATATAGTTTAGAAAGCTGTAGAAAGTGGGTGGGTGGGATTTGACTGGCTCTCTATGGTGTTTCATTGCGCCCAAGTGCCAAAAAAGCATAGGTTCGCATTTTGATGGCATCCAGCGCATCTGTTCCAACACACAGTCTTGAGGATTGAACACTGAACATGTGCCTGACTGCCAGTTGGTTGTGGTCGTCATGTCACAGCACACGGAGGTTTGGATGCCTTGGATTGGTCTAACTCATTTACAGTCAGTTGACCAGCTCTGTGTTATTAGGTTGGATTTCCTCACTTAAAACTTTAGACAGGCCAGAATAAAAATTGCGGTTTGAAAATTGCTCTCGGTTTTGATATAAAAATGATTAATCTTTCATCAAACAGAGTATTTAAAGCCTATAAAACAATCAGGCCGTGTTCTAGTTTAAACTCTAGGAGTCTTATCCAGCTACACTCTTAAAAACAGAGGTGCCAAGAAGGGTTCTTCCCGAGTGATGCCCTAGAAAAAACACTTTTGGTTCACTAAAGCCGCGGTTCTCAAATCTGTCCTCAGGAACCCTAGACGATCGATGCGAATCCAACACGGACCACCAGGGGGTCCCCGAGGGCTACAAACCTTTCAATGGCTAGTTCTTCAAAGACTCATTTTTGTAAATGAGATGAGATGCTGAGAAGAACCATTTAAAAAGTTGAAACTATTTAAATATGTTTTTCCTAGAATCATACATCCAAGCCAAGAACTAATCAGGAACTTTTATTTTTAAGAGCCTGAACAACATCTAAACACTCTGCTGGTGGTCACCAGGAGCAGAGCTGAAGCTGGAATACAGCCCTAACAGGAGGAATACTGATGTCAGTTCATATTGCTAATTTAGATTAGGTCCTCCGCTGACCCCTTAAACAGCAGAATTATTGCTTCGTTATTTTCGTAAGGCTTAATACACACTAATTACAATTAAACTATTGAGTAACTTATGGAGTTGTAAGGGTGAGGAATGAAAAGTCTGGACCCTTTGAAGGGTTTTAGGGGTTATCAGTAAGGTGTAACGCTTTGAAAACTCGCCTAAAGACCCTGATTCCTGCGTTACATTTGCTTCTATATTTAGACAAGTAAGCAAAAAAAAATAATAAAATAACAACATCCACCTACAAGTTCAACAGCTCAATAAATTCTCTTGTGGCTCTTTGTGTTGCTAGAGTAAACTTCATAACATAGCAAAAATAAATTAGCAACAAGGGGATTCAACAACACAGCCCTCTCCTTCTCTCTCACTACACTTACAAACCCCATATAAATAACCCTCTCGCTCAATATCAAACGAGGAGTAAGTAATGTAAAAGTAGGCAAAATAAACAGAATTTCAGACAAGAAAAAAAACTGATTAACAGTAACATTACGGGACAACATAAATCTCTGGAAGGACGTTTCTTTCCCTTCTTTTCTTTCTTCTTCTTTTCCCTTTTGATTCCCATCCCTTATTCATCCTTTCGGTCCACTCGCGCTACTTTTTGCCATCTCTCAACCGACAGGCCACGGCTGTGATGAGGGCGGCGCCCTTCCCGCTGCCGTCTTCTGATTGGACCAGAGTGACGTCGCACTGGGGCGCCAGATCCCGCAGGGTTTCCTTCATGACGGTGGAGAAACTGGAGAGAGAAAGACAGTCAGGTGACGCTTCTGCGGGCAATACAACAATATTTGGGAACACTTTATTTGGACAGTCCACTTTAGATGCTTCGTAGATACTTTATTTAGTATCAAGTTACATTCAACTAAATATCTACTAAACTGACCATTATTTTCTAAACTCTACACCTGGATCTAATCCTAACCCTAACCTCAACCCAAAACCTGAACCCAGCCCTCACACTGGTCCAGATCTTAACCCTAACCCCACCACTGTTTAGAATCAGAGTTTCAACAGATAGTTTGAACATCTGTAGAGAATCTATAGGGGACTATAGTGGACTATCCAAATAAAATGAGACCCAATATTTATTTTAGATGTATAAATTTTGTCACATTAACATCACAAAAAGCTGACCAGTCATATGTTTCCTTACAAAGAGGGCATAATCAGACCTGTTTGACTGGACTTCATACAGCGCAGTATATGAAATGTTAAATAAAACCAATTACATTCAAAGTTTTTCATTGTGTAATGTTGGTTCTTCAATGTCTGTTTATCAAACCTCAGAAATGCAAATTATGTGTTGTGAAAGTTTAATTACTGTGCTATATTTTTCGCCCACTCTAATTTCACACTACATTCAATGGCTGGACATTTATGAACAGGTGGGTCCAGACTGCCATTCCTCACTTCTATAGCTGATTTTTCAAAATTGCTGTGCAAGTACATTAATTAAGTTATTACGATGTAAACAGAGTCATTCAGAGGGGTTTGGTGTGAAACGCTCCGTTCCAGAGAAACTTAGAGTCAGGATTGTTCACAGTGGTGGTGATAGGAACCAGACGTCCACCTCTAAAAGCTCCCTCACAGAAAGTTACTACATGAAATGGTTATGCATTCACTGCCTGATGACAGCTCTGAGAAGCTTTCTGCCTAAACCTTTTTTTTTTTTGAAATCCATTCATATTTATAGCGTCCCAGCTGGGTGACCAGGGTCATTTCTGTGTGGAGTTTGCCTGTTCTCCCCATGTCTGCGTGGGTTTCCTCCGGGTACTCCGGTTTCCTCCCACAGTCCAAAAACATGCAGTCAGGCTGATTGGACGTGCTGAATTGCCCCTAGGTGTGAGTGAATGTGTATGTCTGTTTGTCTGCCCTGCGATGGACTGGCGACCTGTCCAGGGTGTATCCTGCCTTCCGCCCAATGACAGCTGGGATAGGCTCCAGCACCCCACCGCGACCCAGAAGGATAGATGATGGATGGATGGATATTTATAGCGGAGGCACATGCAGGGCATTGTAAACATTTTTTTCATATTTACCACTTTTCTTTGATTATCAACAATGCTTATGAAAACATACCAGCTCACCAGTCACCTTGTAGAACAAATAAAATGGCTATGTTTGTGTTGCGGACATCTACAATAAACCATTTCACATCAAACCACTCTGAATGCTTTTCTTTACATCTCTACAACATAGTTATACTGAAATTTTGAAAAATCTATGAAATTCCCCTTCAGTATTAACTCACTGTTACAACACTACGGGTCATAATGTGTGACTTCATTTTTCTCTGTTTAGTGTTTGTCGTCTTCTTCTCATGTTAATTACAGATCTGTGGGAGGAGACCTGCATGTGATTGGTCAGCAGCAGGAGGAGCCGCCTTTAAGAAGGATGTAAACGGGAGGAATAAAGGGTGCTCAACTTCTGACACCATTTCCGTTGTTTTCCCAGTTACCTGACCAGTCTCCTAAAACCTCACAGCCTGAGAGTGGTGTAAAACAACGGTCAGCGAACAGCTCATCGCTTCATTAGGCTAATATTACTGCTATTTCTTTTTCCTTTGGTCCATATGTTCTACGAGCTTGCCTGAAAGCTAAACTGAGCAAAGATCTGAAGATATTTTTCAAACTGATCATACTACAGATAGATGTTCATCTGAACTATAACTACACAATATTTCATAACTTTAGACCAGGCATGTCAAACTGGGCACCTTCCAGGCCAAAGTGCTGTGGAGACAAGTGTTTACTTGTATCTAACGCTCCAAATTCAGTTCATGAAGGCCTTGCTAATTAGCTGATGAGCTGAATCAAGTGTGTTTAATGAGGCCCGCAAGGACTGGAGCCTGACACATGTGCTTTAGGCCAATCATACATTCTGTGACATTTCACCCTCATAATACTACATTAAGTTACTGGACATAAATAAGTTAAAGGGCTAAATTAAAAATGATGGTTTTTCTTGAAGGAAACACTTTGCTGAAGGCCAAAGACTTCAAATAGGCAACGTTTATGCAGAGTGACTTGTGATGATTCAATTTAGCAAGACTGAACTGTGTGGCTGAGATCTGTCATTAACGGTTCAGTATAATGAAGCAGAGTGAGCAGAACAATGTTCATTATCTGAGCGAAAGACGCCCGCAGCCGACTGCAAAACATAACAAGACAGTACTTTTTTACACATAATTGGAAAAAGTATTGACTCGATTAGTTCTCTTGGCACCTTGCCAGCAGACTAAATGTGGTTGCAAATCAAAAACGACTGCAAGAGAAGTTTAGATTGCCAGTTAGCTTAAGAAAATGGCTTATATATATATATATATATGACCACCTCCTTGTTTCTACACTCATTGTCCATTTTATCAGCTCCACTTACTATATAGGTGCACTTTGTAGTTCTACAGTTACAGACTGTAGTCCATCTGTTTCTCTGATACTTTGTTAGCCCGCTTTTACCCTGTTCTTCAGTGGTCAGGACCCCCATGGACCCTCACAGAGCAGGTACTATTTGGGCAGTGGATCATTCTCAGCACTGCAGTAACACTGACGTGGTGGTGGTGTGTTAGTGTGTGTTGCGCTGGTCTGAGTGGATCAGACACAGCAGTACTGCTGGAGTTTTTAAACACCTCAGTGTCGCTGCTGGACTGAGAATAGTCTACCAACCAAAAATATTTGGTCAACAGTGTCTTGTGGGCAGCGTCCTGTGACCACTGATGAAGGACTAGAGGATGACCAACACAAACTGTGCAGCAGCAGATGAGCTATCGTCTCTGACTTTACATCTACAAGGTGGACTGACAGGGTAGGAGTGTCTAATAGAGTGGACAGTGAGTGGACATAGTGTTTAAAAATGCCAGCAGCACTGCTGTGTCTGATCCACTCGTACCAGCACAACACACACTAACACACCACCACCACGTCAGTGTTACTGCAGTGCTGAGAATGATCCACCACCCAAATAGTACCTGGTCTGTGAGGGTCCATAGGGGTCCTGAACACTGAAGAACAGGGTAAAAGGAGGCGAACAAAGTCTGCAGAGAAACAGATGGACTACAGTCTGTAATTAATGAGACAGTTCTTGCAAATCGCAGCGTCTTTATCTATTTTATTTGTCCCTTCAATGCTGTAAAAGCTGAACTGGGCCCAGAACTTCGACTTAAAAGAGGACGGTGCCTGTCTGATTTGTCCCCCCACCCCCACCATTGTCCACCATTTCTACCCTGTGAGTTTCTTTCTCTTCACCGCAGTTTTACACTATTCATTTGATTAGCGCCACCATGTGGAGCCATGAGGTAGTGAATCTGGTAAATCAAATTGGAGGGGGAGTCCGCAGTGTATTGATAACTTCTAGCAAAAGAAAGCGATATGATATATCGCTGTATCGATATTTTATCCCACCCCTAGCTGAGTGTGAGACATTCATTTGGTAGAGGACAGTATGAATTCTAATAGCATTAACTTCCCAACTAGCTTATGTCACCTTAGCAGACTACATACAGAGCATTAATACTAAAAAACAGGTACCAAAAACCATATAACTGGAACCTTCAGTACTGGACAGACGGCCAACGGAAAAAGCCCAGCTCCAGTGTGATGCTGCAGAAGGTTCTGGTACATTTTACAGTGGAAAAAACCCAAAAGGTGAGCTCACAAGGAACAAACAAACTTAACAGATTATTTCACACTGCTGATCCACACACTTCAGAGGATAGGATTATTAAATGCAAGCTGTGGCTGGTTGGGCCTGTAGAGCAGCGTAATCTTCACTAAAAACGTACAATCAGGTCGATACATACAGATGCAGAGACTCCGAGACAAACCACCACTGAGTTAACAGCCTAAAATGAGGCTCCTGTAGTTGTTTTCAAAAGGACAGCACTTCCCTGTTTCTGAGCAGCACTGGATATTGCTCTGTTTACTGAGCTCCAAAATAAAGCAATACACCCCCTATGACTTGTACAAATGCAGCTGCATGAATCCTGACAAAAAAGAAAGAGAGAGCTCACAGCACCACTATTTTTAGAGAACGGTGCTGCTCCCTGTAGCTTTTAGGATACATTTGAAAGACCTTTTACTTGTTTTCCTCATGCAACATGTATAAAATTCTGCCTACAACTTTCAATTTGTTTGCCCTTCATGGTCCTTCACTGCTACAGTCCCACTCGCACTCTCAGCTCCTCTGGCAGCAGACATGCCCGGATTTCAGCTCAATTACAGCCATAAATCTACATACTGCACAGCCTTTATTATGAACTGATTACTAGAGATGCACCGATACCACTTTTTACCTTGCAATACCAATACCTGATCCTTTATTACTGGCCGATACAAAGTATCGATACCTAGTCTTTCTAATCTAACTCACCTGTAAGTCCTGATATTTATACAATTACATTTTTACAATATTTTATCTTAGTAAAATCTGTTCTGCGTCACAACTGAGCTTGGCTAGACGGCATTAACGCGTCGGATTATATTTATTAGATGCTTAATAATACTTACTTTCGTTTATTTACTGTATATATTTAGTATTTAATATCAATAGCAATAAGCCACGAGAGGCCGTGTGTTACTGCGATTTTATCACGGGAAGGGTGTTCTTAGGCACAACACGCAGCAGAGTGGCTTATTGCTTTTATAAAAAGTTATTATTAATAATAATCTACATAAACAACTATTCCGCCAAGAAACGTAGTTCCTTTAGAGGATGGTATCGTTGCCAAGCAACCATGACGAGAGCGTTTTTCTGTCTTGGTTGAAGCGACGGGCCACAAGACCCCGCTGCTGAGTAATACAGCTGACCAAAGGAGGAAATAGCATGGAATTTCCAGTCGGGGCCAGTGGACGCACAGCAGGCTGCTATGCTACAGGATAAATTGAGGCTGAAGGCTAAGAGTCCTATCATTAGGCTGAGAGTCCTGTGGTTCCGTCCGCTCTCTCAAAAACATTAACTCAGACTGTGAGTGACCACACAGCGGCAGAGGAGTGATTACTGAAAGAAGCAGCTCAGCCGTTCAGGTAAGCGACTCCTTTAGCGTGTTTTTCACACCAAAAACTGCCGTTACAGGTTCTGCCATGAGCATTTTTCCTGCTGCTTGTCGCCCCACACCGCCAATGTGTTGTTACGTTCAGTCTACTGGCACGCATGCTCACGTCAAAAACTGCTTTGTGGTATCGGTCATATGTATCGGTATCCGATCACTGATACCGATACTGCGTTTAAGTGCCAGTATTGGTGCCGATACCGATACAGTATCGGTACAGTATCGGCACAGTATCGGCGCAACATTACTGATTAAGGTCTGTAGGTTCAGGAGAAAGATTAATTCATTAGCAGAAAACTAGTGGTTCTCTGAACCAAACTCAACCTTACGTTACCTGAGTTTGTGTACGTGGAAAATTGTGAAATTAAATTATATCAAAGTGCCTTTAATTATGAACCGATAATGATCTGAAGAATCAGGAGAGTTCTAAACGCAAGCCAATTGTAGACGCAGTAAATTAGCAGAAAACTTAAATGGTTTCTCACAAGCAAAACTCCAAAACTTTGTTCTTCTGAGAAATTAAAATGACACCACAGCACAGGAGGAGCATTTCAGCTAGAATAAAGACGGTATAAAGGGAATAGCTGGTGTGTCTGCGGAAGTGTGAAATCAACCGCTTGAACTCTAAGGACTGTTAATTCATCACTCTCATAACTACAAAGTTAATGAGTAAAAACTCTCGATATGAAAGACTGAAAGGGGAATGCCACTGATATTTCTAAATTTCTGCATATTTCACTCACTGAGATGTAAACAAAGGCATTCAGAGTGGTTTGATGTGAAACGGTGTAAGTTTGACTTCTTTACAGTGGTGCTGATAGGAACCAGGGGATGTGATGACAACATAAATATGACCATTTTATTAGCCATCCAAAACCACCAGATAACCTACACGTGTCTGAGTTTTTATATGAAATGTTACTGATAGTAAAACAGCTGAAAAAGAATAAAAAAAGGGGGGGGGGGGCTTACCCTACATCTACCCATCCACCATGAATGGATTTTTAAAAATATGTTTTAGCTTAGTCAGATTGAAATTTTGAAAAAATTGGTGGAATTCCCCTTTAATAATAAGCCTAGGGTTTAGGGGGATACATTTCACAGTGTAATGTGTCTCCACTACAAAATGACCCCAAGACACTTACTGTGGGTGGAGTTTATAGAGTGTGCCGTCCACTCCCACCGTGATGGAGAGCTGCTGGAGGTCACGGTTCTTCCGGATTTTGTCGACCACCGCTGCGAGTCCAGCACCACATAGCTGGGCGGCTCTGCGGGCCACCACAGTGCACACCTCCTTCACCAGGATACTGTCATCACACGTACTGGTGGTCAGACCCAGGTGCTGCACGATGGACCGCACCTGCCTCAGAGCCAAGCGGTCACTGAGAAAGAAAGGATTGGGGTTGAGGAAGAGAGGGAAAAAGAGAGGCAGACAGACAAAGACAAAGAGAGAGAGACAGAAAGAGACAGAGAGAGAGGAGAGAGTAAAAGAAAGAAAAAAAAGAGTAAGAAAGACAGATTGAGAATGAGAGAGAGCAATAAAAAGACAAAGAGGAAAAAAAGAAAGAAAAACAAAGAGCAGGTAACAGATGGAGAAAATTAGAGGGGCAGAGAGAACGAAGAGTGAGAGAAAGAGGGGAAAGAGGAAGGAAAAAAGAAAGAAAAGGACAAAAAGAAGGAGAAGGAAAGAAAAACAGTGAAAAGGAAGAGCGAAAGACAGAAAAAGGGACAGAGAGAGGAAAGTCAGAAGTAGAGAGACAGTGAGAGGGACAGAAAAGTAGAACAGGCAAAAAAAAAAGAAAGACGAAAGTGAGGAAAAAGAGAAAATGAGAGAAATAAAGAAAGGGAGAAAGAACAAAAGAGGGGGGAGTGAGAAAGAAAAGAGAAAATGAGAGAAAAAAGAAAAAAAATAAAGAAAGAGAAGGAAAAAAGAAGGGAAAAAATAATGTAGAGAGAGAGAGAGAGAGAGAGAGAGAGAGAGATATTATTATAAGATTATATATAAGTTGCTTCAATTACAGTGCATAATGGTACGAAACACCCTTTTTTCGTATGAAGGGGTGGACTGGGTCGCGCTAATGGCCCGTATTTATTAAAAGGTAACCAGAGAAACCGTCGACCAGGTTAGAGAAATCATTACAGTGGCTGCGGTAATTATGATTCATATCCAGATAATATCCATATTTAAATGACCCTTTTTAAAATGACTCTTGTCGGGAGCCAAAGCCAAACACTCCATTCAGAGTTTTCCATTCAGGTGATGAGACTGCAGCCTCATGTTCACTTTATCAGAGAGCACAACACGCTGCACTACCTCTCAGCAGAATACAGACTCAGTCATTCATACACACACACACACACACACACACACACACACACACACACGGGAGCGAAAACCTCTTCTTCTCTGTTCTTCTTATCTCAAGCATTCCGATCCTCAGCTCCGAATCCTTCCAAAACAACATCGGACTCGGGGCTTATTACCTTCTGCTCAATTTTTCCCCAAGTGTCACACTAACATTCAGGATTCAGAGTTCTTTTACTGTAAAAGGAAACACCTCCTCCAAAACAACCATACACAGTGGATGTTCACAGTTTTGGAACACAATACTGTTTTATCTTGTAAACAAAACTCTTCACTGTAACTAAATAAGAAACGATACCAATACATCCATCACAACACAGTTAGCATCAGTCGCACTCTCTGGGAGTCGAAGCGGTTGATTTCCAAAAGCTCTGAAGTACAAGTTGGACATTTTCAGAAGTTATTTGTGAGGAGATTAGATGTAGGATAATCCACTATTTATACAGAAGGAGAAAGTTAAAGGAAAATGAGTGGAAAAAATTCTGTTTCCAAAACTGAAGTTCAAAAAAATTAAGTGCTACAGAGAAAATGAGGCTCCTAACAACCACCTGGAAGACCTGGGAGACACCAAAACTGCCCCCATCAGATAAACAGCACTTAAAGCTTTCATCTCTGAGAGAGAGGAGAAAATCAAGCTGCTTCAGATCTGAAAACATCCACAGGTGTTTCTGTCCATCCTTCCACTGTGAGACGACGACTCAGCGCTATGGGCAGTGTTGTAGTCAAGACCACCAAGACCTTTCTTCTCTAAAACTTGTTCACAATCACCACCTGAAGTCAATCAAACAAACTCAACTGCATCCATTTTTATTATTAAATGAAAATATCGTAATAACATTCTGATCTGCCCTCAGGGGACGTTTGAATTTTGGAACCAATGAACCTCAACAATCAAATAATAATCAGTTAATCATCGCTGTGGTTGTTTGTGTGGACCACTAGATGCAAAAGTTTGGGAACCCCTGATGCAGAAAAATGCTGTTTTATTCTGTTTGTTCTTGTTTTGTTGATATTCAATAATAATTCAGCTGACCACTCCAGATTCCAGACCTCAACACCACTGAATGTGTTTGATTACTTCAGAAAATGATCAACCAGCTTCTAAGACTGAACTTTGGAGGTGTGTCTGCAGATTCTTTGAGGAGCTGAAAGTGAGTCTCCTGAAAAGAACGGAAGCCGGAATAAAGGTAAAGAGTGACTCACTGACCACTGAACGCAGCTGAGATTAGAGTTGAGGCTTCTGAGTAATTTTCTGTTACATATACAAATGTTTTCTGCTTTTCCTGACACTGAGGACCAAATTGCACTGAGTGGATGCTTTGGCTGGAAATTAAACAGATTAACGGTGATCTCTTTGTTGTTTTTATGATGTGTCACAAAAATCAAAGCATTTACATATATTTACCCATTCAGCCTGATGTTATAAGGAGTGTTTCAGTCTGGCTCGCACATTGCTCCAAAAATATGATTTAGATTTTCATCATAAATGCAGAAGGTTTTGTAGTTTCACAGCTAGCATTACTGTTCTGTAATCAGCAATAGTATTAATACACCGTCCTGTAATTAATAACCTGTACTGTTATGAGCTCCAATTGTTTGTGATTTTGATTCAGTTGCTCCTATAAATTAAATATTGAATGTTATGATGACGACGCACAGGATTTTCCTTTTTTGTGCTGTAACATATGAATTCCAATTTACTGTATCACAGATGAGTGCATGTTGTTTTATGTATCATGCAACTCATAAATGTGCCTTGAGTTTAATTTTACAGTAAAAGGATATTATTCATAATCAGGCAGTGTAAATTTTTTTTCTAATATTTGCTGAGAAAATCAGAGCGAAACAATATTCTCACAAGTCCAATTGTGCTTGCTAGTTTTCACAAGTCCAATTAAGCTTCCTGGTGACCTTTATCAATATAACGATTATCCGAAACATGAGCCTAATATCCGGAACACCTGCAGAGACATGAAGGAAAAATTCCTTTGGTTATGACGTTTCAGGCTGAGCGGTCAGAAGGCCATGTGGATGTAAAGAACCCTGCGCATACAAAATTCACAAAGGAACAAAATAGGCACTAAATAGGGCCAGTAACTGGGTAAAGACCAGGTGCATCGCATAGCCAGCTGAGCGAAAGGGAAGTACCTGTTTGTAATAACAATATTTCCCATAGAGCGTTTATAGATCCTTTATATAGAAACATACACCAACCAGCACTTCTTTAAAACCACCTCCTTGTTTCTACACTCACTGTCCATTTTATCAGCTCCACTTACTATATAGGTGCACTTTGTAGTTCTACAGTTACAGACTGTAGTCCATCTGTTTCTCTGCATACTTTGTTACCCTGTTCTTCAGTGGTCAGGACCCCCATGGACCCTCACAGAGCAGGTACTATTTGGGTGGTGGATCATTCTCAGCACTGCAGTGACACTGACGTGGTGGTGGTGTGTTAGTGTGTGTTGTGCTGGTCTGAGTGGATCAGACACAGCAGTGCTGCTGGAGTTTTTAAACACCTCAGTGTCACTGCTGGACTGAGAATAGTCCACCAACCAAAAATATCCAGCCAACAGCGTCCTGTGGGCAGCGTCCTGTGACCACTGATGAAGGACTAGAGGATGACCAACACAAACTGTGCAGCAGCAGATGAGCTATCGTCTCTGACTTTACATCTACAAGGTGGACTGACAAGGTAGGAGTGTCTAATAGAGTGGACAGAGAGTGGATACAGTGTCTTAAAAGTATCAGAGAAACAGATGGACTACAGTCTGTAACTGTAGAACTACAAAGTGCTCCTACCAGGTCGGTGTATACACACACACACGCACACATACACACACACACCTCTCAATCTGGGAAAGGAACTTGGTCTCGAAGATGCCGCGGGTTTTGAGTCTTTCAGAGAGTTTTCCGCGGAAGAGCAGGCCTTTGGCCGTGAAGTCCAGCAGCACGTTCCTCACAATCTCCCCCAGGTACATCCCACTGATCATCTTCTCAAACCTAACACACACACACACACACACACACAAACACAATGAGACATCTGATTTTATGAAGACATTTATACAAAAGGTCATTTTCACTGCCCCCACACTGTTTCTGAAGATATTAATTGGTGGCTTGTGGTCATTGTGTTCATGTTATCTTGTTGCACCGCAAATTACAGCATTGATTTTCACTTTCAGCAAATTACAGCATTGACATTGACTCTCATGGCATTTGAAAAATACAACACAGTGAAATTAACTCTCTGACCAGTTTTTAATGTCAAAAACATTCAGAATTAGCCATGCTTGTTTGATACTCTTATCATGTGAGAGACTTGGCTCTGACTAACAGATTGCCTAACAATGTACATTCAGGTTTGATGCTATTTTTGATTCTGAGGTCATGATTTTTTTGTGGTTTTAAAAATGTCTTGAGTCTACAGAGCTCTTAGTTTATAAAACGCATCCTTATATGGAAACGTTTGAACACTCTTGGTCAAATTCCATGTTTAGTTCATTTTCTAAGTGAAAATAAGTAACACATCCTGTACAGAGAACACACTTAAATATGGCATTTTTCTGCAAATTTTAACATAATGCTACATAAATGTTACATATAAAAATGTAACAAAATATAAAATGTGCCATAACTTCTGCACAGGATGCATTTTATGTTTTATTTTGTCCCCAATACATTAAATTCAGCACGTAAACACCAATTGTGCATTAAAAGTGCAGAAGTGTGTTCTCTGTAGAGGACGTATACCTATCTTCACTTCGAAAGTCATAAGCTCCGCCCACTTTCCTCTGATAGGCTGTACCCAGGTGTCTAGCTTTGTTCACTGTCAGTGGTTTCCATGAAAGACGGTAAAAGAGAGGCGCTCAGAAGAGAGCGAGGGGCGTGTCAGCGATAGTTTCAAGTGTCCGCTCACTGTTTGGAACGCTTGTTTAAAGATTTTTCATTGCAGTAATGAAATCGTCATTAGTCAGGATTCAGCTGACCCGGTGAGTGGTCAGTAACGACACTGGCAGCTAACAGACGTCCAGGTGTGTGAAAGCCAAAAGAGGCAGTGTGCTGGTGCGTTAGCCTCACCTCTGTCTGCCTGGGTTTGTTGAGCATTTATCCACAGCTCTGTCGAACTCTGTGTAGAAGTCTTCCAGCTCCCCGCCGTCTCCGAACGCTCCCCACTCCATGTTCACACACATCAGACCCTCGTCTCCCTCCACCAGCTCCACATTCCGCATCTCCTCCATGTAGCAGGCGTTCGTACCCGTACCTGCAGGGCCCAGACCAGGGTTATCAACACCAGCGAAGCCCCGAACTGACCAGCACCCCAGACTGAACTGCACCTATAATACGGTTCTTAGAAGCTCCCCCAGCATTACTGATTCATTGGTTGAATTTCTGACACATCCAAATATTAATATTAACTTTTCTATTAAAATTAAAATGTCATTCCACCTACTTAATTATATATTCATTAGGTGTTAAGGTCAGGGCCGGCTCCAGGATTTTTGGTGCTGAAACGTGAAGGGGGTGCTATACCTATAGCTGTGGCGGTGACGATATGTGATTACCAGGGGTCTGGGGCGGGGGGTGCTGGTGCTGACAAACATGGAGCTACATGCTAAATCAGACAAGATGTGATATTAAGGCTGAATTTACACCTAGTTTGTTTGCTAAAGTCTGAACCACAGTTTGGGTTTTTGTGACACTGCATCTTTTTCATTTGGTTTGGTTGTTGTTTTCACACTGCAATGGCTAAACTGCACCAAATTACACACGAGTGCTTTTTCATTGGTCAGAAATTTTGCAGAGACAGCGGCGCTCTGTTACTCTCACATCGGCCAAAAAACACAAACTCTGCATGGAAATAGAGATGCTTAACATCTGCGCGTATCACAGTCATGACAATAATAATAAACCTTTCCCGCTTCTTTATGATTGTTTTGTCAGTTTGAATGCAGCCAATCAGGTTTCTGAAGCAACACAATCTGCGATCCAAAGGCCAAAATCAAAACCAAGGCTTCGCTGTTAGTTTATTAATGTCATTGCTGGTCTACCGATATTAGCAGCAACAACGATATGAGCGTCTGTGTGAAGTCCAGCAGTGAACTGAACCGAGGTTCATCTGGAAGAGGAAAGAGACCCGCGATTTTTGCCGGACCACAGTTCTTTTGCTTAGTGCGCACCCGAGTGTGGGTGACGCGTTCACACCTGTCGAAACGGACTGAACTAAAGAAACAGTTCGAGCGCACATAAGACTTGCTGTCACCCGCGTTTTACACCTACTTTGTTTTGTGCGGACCAACTGAACTTTTCCTTCCGTTTGACAGGTGTGAACACTCCACCCGTACTGGAGTGCGCACTAAACGAACCACAATCACAGGTCTCTGTGGTTCAATTTGCTGCTGGTGGGAGCGCTTTTTTCGACGGTCTAAATCAGGGGTGTCAAACTCGTCCAGTAAAAAGGGCCATATTAAAAAAATGTAATTAAATCTGTTGGCCAGAGAAAAAAATGTTTTCATTTTATTTTTAATTAACATTGTGCAATAACCCGAACTGGCCTTCATTCAAAATATGCAAAGAAATCAACAGTAAAGTACAGACACTTGTAGTAGACCTTGAAAAATTACATGAATGCTTGAAATATTCTAAATTTAAGTGTTTTCGGGAGCTCAGTCTTTTAAACCTACCTATCTGCTTGAAACAGACACCTGGCATCCTTTTTTGCTGCAAGCTCATTAATGCTTGGGCTCAACTGAGCTAAACGTTAAGTGTTTATATTGACTGAACAGCAGCTGAAATGCATTTGGTGGTATGACTGGTGTGGAATTGTGTAGAACTAAGGTGTAACCACTGTCCCATAGACTGTTGTTGGGGTAGGAGAGTCAGAGCACACATTACGTTGCAGTGCATGCTGGGGACTGTAGTGCAGCGTATTGTGAACCAGGCTAATATTAAGAAAATTAAAATACTTTTGGAAATACTTCTGGAAAAATGATACGAGCTTCTGTGAAGAGTCACATATTAAACAGGCTCAGATGTGCGCTGAGGAAAGAAAGCCCTGATTTTGAATTCCCTCATTTGATGTAGACCCTATGTGTCAAACACGAGGCCCGCGGGCCAGATCAGACCCACCACACGGTCCTATCTGGCCCGCGGGCCTCGTGTTTGACACATGGGGTCTACATCAAATGAGGGAATTCAAAATCAGGGCTTTCTTTCCTCAGCGCACATCTGCGCTCCACTGTCTGTGTAATCAGCCTGTTTAATATGTGACTCTTCACAGAAGCTCGTATCATTTTTCCAGCTTGAGCTGCTGCTAATAACGGCAGATGAGCAATAACATTGTCTCACACAGAGCACAAATTTATTGATATGCTGGGCCAGACATCGCCAACCTGTCTGGCTGAATTCAAACAAGCATAATACAACCAATCTAGAATAAAGAAGTAGACATGGAGGGGTCTGGGCCCTTTAAATGGCCCATGCAGACATTAAGTGTATGATATTGCTTTTTATCAAGAATATAAGTGAGCGACAGATCTGGGTTTTAAACCACGATGGACTAGTAAAAGGTAAAACATAAATAGGTCGTTTAATGTAGGCAAATAGAACATTTTGCAACTTTTTTTAACATTTTTTTGGCGCTCCGCCTGGTTAGGGTAGTTTTTTAACACAAATTTTAAGGTAAACATGTTACGAAACTGTCTCTTGTACATCTGGACTGACTGTGTCATATCGTATTGTCACACTTGTGACACATATCGTAAAGCTGCTGACGATACCCAGCCCTAGATGTAATCACTTTAAGTGTTTAATTACACCGACTTAATTACTTTGAGTGATAAAACATTTTAAAGGGCCCAAATCCTATATTTTCCTTAAGTCCACTTATTACATTTGTGTGGTTTTATGTTCCAAAAATGGTCATAACTCATTTTACTATGCCCATTTTCCAACCTTACAATTAAACAGGCTGGTTTTGTTTTTTAATATATGTAAATGAGCTCTATTATGACTGGCTGTCCTGTATTGAGCTTGATTTAAAAGGCATTTCAAGCCGAAACACTCCTTATAACTTCATTGTGAGGGGGCGGGGCTAAACTGCTGGCATGACATGGCCCTTTTTGTTGCATCAACGGAAAATATTTGTGTCACTTTAATAATTTAAGTCAAATGCAAATAATAGATTTTTTAATGTGAATTATGAGCATTGTGGATTGTTATGCACTGGTATGCCATATAAACGTTATAGTATTTTACCATTTGGCTCTGAAATGTCCAGGATTTTGCATTTTTAAACTAAAAGGATTAGTGTAATGTCTATTATGTACCATCAGATGCTCAGTTCAGTTTTTAACTGTGATGCAGAGTGAAATGAATATACTTCACACACTTCAAACAAAATATACGTGTAAATAACCCTAAACCTGTTCAGCTAATATCTGATTGCTGCCTTCAAATATTAAGGTTTGGAACTGTTTGCCTTCATTTTGAGTTCTGTTAACTAATTTGGGTAATTGGCAGTTTGGCAATCTAGCTATATCCAGCAATATGCAGCTGTATTATCTATGAAAATACCAATACTGTATCCGCAGATACTCAGTATTACTCAGAAATGTGCTAAAAAGAAATTGATGATGATGATGATGATGATGATGATGATGATGATGGGACATACCCAGTCACCTGACGCAAACACGCGTGCGTACATGTACCCGTGCACACACTGACTCATATGCACACACACTTGAGGGTATGAAATAGGTGTTATTAACACACACGTGGGTGCACACAGTCGCTCACTCACAGACTAAATAAACACTCTCAGGACCTTCAAGGTCAGAGCCATTCAACAAATGTCTGGACGAGACGAATTGTGTGCGAGGAGCAGGCGGTCAGACACACTCACCCACAATGAGCCCCACTTCACAGCGCGGATCCTCATAACCGCACGTCATCATCGTCCCGACCGTGTCATTCACCACGGCAACCACGTCCAGATCAAACTCCTGACCACACAAGGGGGGAGAGAGAGAGAGAGAGAGAGAGAGAGAGAGAGAGAGGGAGAGAGAGAGAGATAGACAGAGAGAGAGAGAGAGAGAGAGAGAGAGAGAAAGAGACAGAAAGAGAGAGAGAGAGAGAGAAAGAAAGAAAGAGAAAGAGAGAGAGATAGAGTAAGAGAGAAACAGAGAGAGGAAGAGAAAGAGAGAGAGAGAGATAAAGAGAGAGAGAGAGATAAAGAGAGAGAGAGAGACAGAGAAGAAGAGAAAGAGAGAGAGAGACAGAGAGAGAAACACAGAAGAAGAGAAAGATGAAAAACAAACAAAAAGGAAAAGAAAATAAAAGAATAAAAGATATACAGAAAAACAAAGTATAGAAATAAAGAAAAACATAATGGAAAACATACAGAAAGAAACAAAAAGAAAGGGACACAATGAAAATGGAAGGGAAAGGATGAAAATATACGTAAAAAAACAACAAAGTGAAAGGACAGAAATGGGAGTGAAGGCATATATAAATATATAGTATAAATATGTAGAAAGATAAATAAAAATAAATAGAAAAGTAAAAAATAGTAAAATGAAAATGGAGAAGAATTATGGAAAACATACAGAATGAAAATTTCAGAATTAATATGGATGGAAAAAAGGAAAATATGTAGAAATAAATAGACAAAGTGACAATGAAAACGGGGAGGAAAGAGCAGAAAAACAGAAAGAAACAAAAAGAAAGTAACAGAATAAAAATAGAAGGGAAAGAATGGAAAATATTCAAAATGAAACCAAAAGAAAATGACAGGATGAAAGAAACAGAATAAAAGAGAACAAAAAGAATGAAGAAAAAAAAGAGTGAAACAGAAAGAAAAAGAAAAAACAAACAATAAATTAGCCGAGATTAGTCTGAATGTAAACCTGCACTCCCTTGAGGTAGAATTTAGCTGATTATGTAAACAGTCGGGTATCAGGAGAATAAACTCAGTCTGCCTGTTTCTGAAAGCCTGTATTTCCCACAGTGCAGAGCCACACGGGCGTCTGGTGTTTTGATTGGTTTAAACAGGGAACTGACTGCAGCACTTCCAGCTCACAAACCTCAGTGACTGCGTCTTTTAGAACTCTGGTGGTGGGATTTTCTCTGGGTCAGTACTGGAGCCTGACCGATGTATCAGTTGGCTATTAAAATTAAGGTTATAATTCACCGGCATTGCCTAAAATCCTTTGAAGTCAGCTGTTTTATATTATAACGAATGCAAACCTCCAACAGTCGCTTTTTCTGACATTTTAATGCTTTGATATTAAAAATTTACAGTCACCAGCTGCTCATCTGACAGAACAACTAGTTTGAACGTAAAACACCATCATAGTTAAAATAATAAAAACATCTAAAATGCATCCAAACTTCCTTTAGCACAAAAAATTGAGGTGAAAAAATGATGAAAGAGCTTCATAACAGAAATAATTTAAAGACAATCTGGCCAAAATGAAAACTGTAGCCTACACGCCTACTTTCCTCTTAGTCCTGATGGTTATATGATGTATTTGTGCACTGCATGCTGGGTATTGTAGTGAGAACACTGATGGACAAAAAGATATGGAAAAAGGATAATACATTTTTAATTCTGTCAAAATGAGGAGGCTGAGGGATGCAAATGCTATAGAATATAACATAACATGAAAAATAAGCTAGTTTTAGGTCAGAATGCCCCGTCACCAGGGTATATTTTGGTTTTTCCGTCTGAATTTACATGAACAAATCATAAGGCAAATTATTCAGTAACTGCATGAAATAAATGTAATTTTTTATTTCACTTATTTATTTATTTATTTTGTAGAAGCTCCCCTCAAATGAACAGAAAATGTGTTTTATGATCATAAACATATTGTTATATGCTTACAATTTACTGCTGAAAGCCAAAAATCTTAGACGCTCTTTGTATTTTTTTATAAAAATAATGTTTACAGAGCAGATCACTGAAGAGACGCCATCTGTTTATAGTTTATAGCCCAGATTTGTGGAAAAATGGGTCGACTTTCAGTAGACAAAAAACTGTGAGTTCAGCTTGTTTTATTATAAGAGTTTAAAATGACATCACCCATCTATTTGACTGGAGAGAAGACAGTTACAGCTCTCATACGACCCCCACCTTTAGAATGTAGCTTATGAAATATGAAAGTTATGAAGAATATGACGAAGTGTGTTTTGGAACCACTGGTGATCCCAATGAGTTGAAGAGGTTAAGACTTTATGTTGTTTATTTCAGTTTTAAAAAATGAAATACACTGAGGACCCAATCAGTTGAGAAGCGACAATCGATCACTTAGTAAAGCACTGTTTAGCTAAATGTTTTAGAGCCTGTTTACGTTTTTTTTTTCATTATTCATTATCGTCGATTATCATAAGCTTCAGCTCCTCAAAATCAATATCAGTCAGAAAAGATCACTATTAAAAAGATCCTATTTAGCGCTACTGAAGTGTGTATGATTTGTGCAAAAACTGATATATTTTTAATTGGTTTTGTTTCTATTTGGATTCATGCTGAAGTTCTTTGATATCCACCAAGCCACTGCCAATATGAGTACATTTTAAACTGATCAGTTTAGATTATCATCAGTAATTAATGCCAGTTATTATTAAGGTTACTTATACCTTACTTAAACATTACTAATATGGTTTTTATGCACCAAAGACCTGGAACGCATTACCAATACACCTCCGTCAGGCTCCTGTAAATGTTTTTAAAAAACAGTTAAATACTCATTTCTTTACTTTAGCGTTTAACTAGTATTTTTATTGTTTCCTTAGTTTTTACTGGAATATTACTAGTACTTTTATGTTCTTGTTACCTGCATTTTTGATTGTCTTTTTCTCTTTATTTACACTTTTATCCTGTGCTTTTTAATTGTATTTATTAATATATCCATTTTCTGTTATTTATTGTTTGTTTATTACATTTTGTTTTTATTCTTGATTATCTTTTCTTCCTCTGTTGTTTTTACTTTGTACTGTGAAGCACTTTGAGCTGCATTTTTAATGTATGAAAGGTGCTATATAAATAAACATTATTATTATTATTATTATTATTATATAACGGAGTTGGCTGCTCACACATACCTCCATGCGATGGATGGCGTCTTTCAGGAGCAACGCTACGTCCTCGCCTTCACAGCCTGTAGCCTTGAAGCCCTTCGTCCACTTCAGCAAAATACCCTGGAAAACAGAGGAGGAATCAGAAGATGATTACACTCTTTTTCTGAGGGCTCATTTTCTGAGTGTGTGTTGTATGTGTGAAAGAGCACATGTGCACTGTGACATGATAACATCTTTTTATTTTTCTTTCTAGAAATGTACAGTAGAGGAACATGCAGCCTCAATTTTTGATGCCTGCATCCATCCACTTCAGGCACATGACCATCCACACTGGTCTGCTCTTACATTAAATTAGAATAAAAATAAGAATTAAGAACCATAAGCATGTGCATGAGCACCTGAGAAAAGGGGAATTTCACCATAGGATTAAATTGTTAAGACATAAAGTAAGGCAGAGCAGTTTGATGTGAAATGGTTCACTGTATGGAACCATATACACTTAGATTTCTTTACAGTGGTGGTGATAGGAACCAAGGGTCGCCATGACTACAACACAAATATAGACATTTTATTTACTATCCAAAACCACCAGTGAACCATCACGAGTCTTCTGACTTTTATATTTAATGTTGACGATAATCAAATAGTGGAAAATCTAAAAAAAATACATTTTTATTTGAGGACTATTTTGCATGTACCCCTATGCCATGAAAGGGTTTTAAGGACAGATTTTAGGCCAAAACCTTCTCAAATCTATCGTAGAACAACGTCTCAGACATCAGGCAGTGCAGTTGCACCTATTTCAACTTTGTGAGGGAGATTTTAGGGGCATTAAACTCGTCAGACGTCTGGTTCCTATCACCACCACTGTGAACCATTCTGACTGCAACAGAGCATTTCACATCAAACCACTCTAAAGGACTCCGTTTACATCTTAACCATTTAATTGTATAGAAATTTGGAAAAATCAATGTAATTCCCCATTTGAGGTGTGTTTATCTGAATAATGACATCACTATTTTGATATTTTTGTTACGTTTCAGAAAAGATGGAGAAAATATACAGGCACAATTTCACTCTTAAAGGTTTAACAGGGCTGTAAACTGTGGCAGTGTTGCTCATATTTGCAGGCAAGCAGCTATTTAATATTAAATATGAGCATTTTAAGAGCGTAACTGAAAAGAACGATATATGCTGACCACTCATAGTGGTGATAACTAGATCCAGTAACAGTGAAAAACTATTCCTGTGAGAAATTAATAGGTTGGGACATCGTCCACTGAGGAGACGACACCCTGTGATTAAGACAATGACTTTTTATTAGCACTAATACTGTACTTAGCCGTAGTGTTAACTCATCTAAAGAGGCAGCCTCCGTTACTCATGGAAACCTACCAAGCAAAAACAGACTGCCCACACTAGCCTGCAACCTGTTGGATGTTTACTTGCTTTGGCTGCTGCTTTTCAATTAAGTAGGGATCAAATCACTGCTTCAAGTGGCTTATTGCATTCAGAAAATGATGAAATTCTGCTCTCTGAAACTCTGTTTCTACGTTCATCGTCCATTTTATCAGCTCCACTTACTATATAGGTGCACTTTGTAGTTCTACAGTTACAGACTGTAGTCCATCTGTTTCTCTGCATACTTTGTTAGCCCCCTTTTACCCTGTTCTTCAGTGGTCAGGACCCCCATGGACCCTCACAGAGCAGGTACTGTTTGGGTGGGTCATTCTCAGCACTGCAGTAACACTGACGTGGTGGTGGTGTGTTAGTGTGTGTTGCGCTGGTCTGAGTGGATCAGACACAGCAGTGCTGCTGGAGTTTTTAAACACCTCAGTGTCACTGCTGGACTGTGAATAGTCCACCAACCAAAAATATCCAGCCAACAGCGTCCTGTGACCACTGATGAAGGACTAGAGGATGACCAGCACAAACTGTGCAGCAGCAGATGAGCTATCGTCTCTGACTTTACATCTACAAGGTGGACTGACAAGGTAGGAGTGTCTAATAGAGTGGACAGTGAGTGGACACGGTGTTTAAAACTCCAGCAGCACTGCTGTGTCTGATCCACTCAGACCAGCGCAACACACACTAACACACCACCACCACGTCAGTGTCACTGCAGTGCTGAGAAACGATCCACCACCCAAATAGTACCTGCTCTGTGAGGGTCCGTGGGGATCCTGACCACTGAAGAACAGGGTAAAAGGGGGCTAACAAAGTATGCAGAGAAACAGATGGACTACAGTCTGTAACTGTAGAACTACAAAGTGCACCTATATAGTAAGTGGAGCTGATAAAATGGACAATGAGCGTAGAAACAAGGACATGGTCATAATGTTATGGCTGATCAGTGTAATGTAATTGATGTGTCTGGTTATAATCTCATGAGATGATTAAACACATCCACATGTCAAAATAACAACAGGAATTCATTTGTAGTTTGCAGCAGAATGTCTGCTAAGAGGAGATGATGGGTCATTCTGTATTTGGTCAATATTGAGGTCTTGCTGTAACAGAGCAGTCCCACCAAGGTGAAATTCCCAAGGTAGCCCTTTCATCAGCTGTTTCCACAGTTTTGCATTTCTTGCCAAAGAAAAGTGGCAAAGATTTAAGAAACTGTAAACCTGTTTAGGAAAAGTGCTTTGAAAAGCCAGGTGTCCCCAACCTTTGTCTGTATTAGATCTCTCATCAGATCGACTACCACGCATCCCAAACAATACGCACAAAGGACGACGCTGGATTCCTCATTTAGGCTTCACAATAAAAACAGAAGCCCATTCAAAACACACATAACAGCAACATAATAAAATCAATCAAAAAGAGCTGAGCTTTGATGCAACTCATTTTTCAAGGCTCTATGACAGGCTTCAGACGCAAAGCGAGGAACGACAGGAGAATCGTTTTCTCACAACCTCAGCGTTTTCCGCCCAACACGACTCAGCTTTTCTTTCAGGCGCTAAGTAAAAACTATTACCCAGACAGCGTGTGCTGAAATAAAGGGTGAACTTCATTTTCAGTTGCACCGGCGCACAACAACACACATCTCATCACCACAAACACACAACACATACACGTCTTTATTTGTAAATGAGAGGCAATATGTTTTGGATCCTACGGGTCTGGTGGTGATGGGAAATTAGATCTAAAAACTGTAAGTTATTTGTATTGTAGGTCTAAGAAAACTATTCACAGTGGTCACTAAGGTTAACTGTTGCTTATAATGTTTCTGTAAAGCCGTCAGCTTCCACGGTGAACAGTGGGATAGGCTGACCAATGAGCTCTTTTCAATATCTTTGCAGATGCCATTTGGATAGTCGTAACACTTGTTTTCCAGCACATTACATGTGAATTGAAACAATTACTATGAGGTCAAATGTCAGCTCTAATTTGAAGGTACATGTACATGCTGGGCGAATCAAAGATGAATCACAGGCCTTTTTGTTCATGAGAACAAATGCAATCTGGCAAATTAACATGAAATTGGCGTATTTACCTATTTGGTAGCAAATGCTTTGAAATCAGTGATTGCTTGAAATCTGCGAGCAATAGACATCACTGGGCTCCGGCTATCTTCCCTGCTGATGGTCTGCAGGCCGGCAATTTTAGCTCCTGATTGTTTTGCAATTTTGTCTTCAGTAAAGTGAAATCCTGCTCAGTGTGTTCAGGTCAGGTCCTTAGGTTGTTCAGGCAAAAATACTGAACTCCACAGAGTCTTTAGGTTTTGGGCCATTGTCCAGTTCAAACACTGGTCAAAGACTGCCCAGTCTTTTTTAAGGGTGTGGTTGCATTCGAGCAGTTAAGGGGCTTATCTAGACCTTATAATCCATCTAGATGTTTCTGTCTGCAATCACATCATCAGCAAAGATGAGTGATGCAGTTCCATCATAGGTGAAGGACAGTAATCCAGTTCACACAGTCAATACAGAGTGTGATGCAGTTCCATCACTGATAAAGACAAATGATCCAGTTCCTGGTACAATCATCATTAACACCAGCACTTCAGCTCTATTACCAATAATGACAAGTGATCTTGTTCCATTGTCAAAAGATGAGCGATCTGGTGCAATCATCGATAAAGGCAAGTGATCCAGTTCCATCATCAATACAGTTGAGTTGAGTGATCCACCAAAAGATGAGTGATCCAATCCCAATTTCAATAAAACCAAGTGATCTGGCTTCATTATCAACAAACATGGGCGATCCAGTTTTATGATCAGATAAGAAGTGATCTGTATCCTTAATCAATAAAGCTGAGTGATCCAGCACCATCAAGTGATCACTTTAAATTATCAGTAAAGATAAAAGATTCAGTTACATTGTTGTTAAAGATGAGTAATTCAGTCCCATCAATAAAGATGAGTGATCCGGTTCCACCAATAAAGACAAAGTGATCCAGTTCTATCATCAATAAAGATGAGCGACTCAGTTCCACCAATAAAGACAAAGTGATCCAGTTCTATCATCAATATAGATGAGTGATCCGGTTCCACCGAAAAAGATAAATGATCCAGCTTCATCAACAGTAAAGATGAGTGATCCAGTTCCACCAATAAAGATAAATGATCCAGCTTCATCATCAATAAAGATGAGTGGTTCAGTCCCCCCAATAAAGACAAGTGATCCAGTTCCATCATCAATAAAGATGAGTGATCCGGTTCCACCGATAAAGATAAATGATCCAGCTTCATCAACAGTAAAGATGAGCGATCCAGTTCTATCATCAATAAAGATGAGTGACTCAGTTCCACCAATAAAGACAAAGTGATCCAGTTCTATCATCAATAAAGATGAGCGACTCAGTTCCACCAATAAAGACAAGTGATCCAGTTCCATCTTCAATAAAGATGAGTGACTCAGTTCCACCAATAAAGACAAGTGATCCAGTTCCATCTTCAATAAAGATGAGTGATCCGGTTCCACCAATAAAGATAAATGATCCAGTTCCATCAACAGTAAAGATGAGTGATCCGGTTCCACCAATAAAGATAAATGATCCAGTTCCATCAACAGTAAAGATGAGTGATCCAGTTCCACCAATAAAGATAAATGATCCAGTTCTATCATCAACAAAGATGAGTGATCCGGCTCCACCGATAAAGATAAATAAAGATAAATGATCCAGTTCCATCAACAGTAAAGATGAGTGATCCAGTTCCACCAATAAAGATGAGTGATCCAGTTCATTCATCAATAAAGATTAGTGGTTCAGTCCCCCCAATAAAGACAAGTGATCCAGTTCCATCATCAATAAAGATGAGTGATCCGGTTCCACCGATAAAGATAAATGATCCAGCTTCATCAACAGTAAAGATGAGTGATCCAGTTCATTCATCAATAAAGATGAGTGATCCAGTTCCACCAATAAAGACAAGTGATCCGGTTCTATCATCAGTAAAGATGAGTGGTTCAGAGGAGTGATACAGTTTCTTATATGTAGACTATAATGCAGCTCTCTGTTCTTGAGGCTTGTCAGTAATCTAGGTGCATTCTATTAGAGTAAAGCATGGGGAGGGACTGTTGCTCTGTCTTTATATATTCTAGGTGTTGTGAAAGAGTCATATTTGATAAATTTTATTAATCTGAGCCAAAATCAATCTATATCTAAAATCAAATCGTGACCTCAGAATCTAACAACATATTGAACCTGAAGACGTGTATCGGTACACCTCAAGCAATGACATATCTGGCTAAGAATCAGCTGGATAGTCTAACAGTTCTTGTCTGCAAAATTGGGAGGACTGCAGGAGCTAATTAGAGGCTAAGAGAGGCGCTAATTTGGGCAGCCAATTTAGCAGGTTATCAGCACACTATAATCACGTTTGGCTCACATGATTTTTGTACAAAAGCCCTTTTCTGCCAAGCAGAAATTCAGACTGATTAGGCTAAAACAATGAGTGTATTTAAATGCACTTAATAATCTGATAACTGCAGAAAATCACATTTTATCAGTGATCTGATCAACGTGCTTATATGCACTTGAGTAATCAAATAATGGGGAAAGTCTGGGTCTACATGAGTCAGACAGTAATCAGATTTCTGCTTTGCAACCAGCCAATAAACTCACAGAAGAAGACGTGACAAACATAACATAAACTCAAATTTCATGCAGCAACCTTTTTAAAAAAAAAAAATGCTCTACTTTATTTAAAAATATGAACATACATCATCTAGAAGATGAAGAATATTTGTATATTTATATAATTTGTTTCATCAAGTATGTATTTGGTTTCAGCATCGCACCAAAAGTGTTTTGCTGCGTCTCGCGGCGACGCTGCTCGCTTATTTCTGGTGCCACCATCTGTTTTCGCACATGCTCAGACTGAGAAATCCGAAAGAAATCAGAGTAAGAGTTCACATGCACTGAGAAATCTGATTACTGAGCTAAAATCCAGCCTCTTTATCTGATTAAGAAATCCGATTTCTAGACGTTACTCTAATCTAAGAAATATAACCGCAGAAATCTGATTATGATCAGATTATTGAGTGCATGTAAACACACTCCATGACTTATTTTCTCAAGATTTTGATTTAGTAAGTCAGAATAATGACTAAAAAGGAATTATTATTCATCGAGAAACATGATTACATCAACATCATAAGTAATTATGCTGAGAAAACAAGACATGAGCTGGACACAAATAAACACATCAGAAATTCGTATTTTTTAAAACACATTTTCTTGCTGGTGGGAGGAATTTGTAAGAAAGAACATTTGTAAGTGCAGAAAATATATATACACTGACCTCGTCCAGACGGGTTTGACTGCAGGGGAAAGAGAAAGTGAAGCCCAGCGGCAGCGACGCCCCCTTCATTCCCATGTACTCCAGGAAGTCGCCAATACAGTGGACAATGTGGTCAAACAGCTACAGAAAACATGCACACACACAAAATCCGATAGCATACAGTTACTGAAGGCCACAGGCCACACTTATGTACATACCACCTACACACTGAATGCAACCAAACAATCAATAGTTTTTCACAACAGTCAGGGTAAAACTTTTTACAACAGCTCTTACAATGATGTCCTTGAAAACTTTCCCGAAACGTTAAAAAACAAAGTGAGATTTGAACAAGGCTGCACAACACGCTGAGCCGCACCTACCTTGTACTTATAATCACTGGCCAGCCAAAACAGTTGTTAAGTAAAACTTAGGCTTTTTTTCAGGAGATGTTTCTAAGGAGGTCTGATATAAGTTACATATATAATTTGGATAAAAGGGAAAACTTTTCAAAGTTGACCCAAAGATACAGAAAAAAGTGTCTCTAAATAACTGCACAAGGCATGGTAGACAGCAAAACTGTCCTCATCAGAGAAACAGCACTTAAAGCTTTCATCTTTGAGAGTAGTTGAACTTCCATTAAGCTGAGTTATGGGGACATTTTAAGGTCTTTGAATGTGTGTTTTGTAGTTGAACGTCTATTAAAGCTGAGTTATGGGGACATTTTAAGGCCTCTGATTGTGTTTTGTGGTTGAACTTCCATCAAAGCTGAGTTAAGGTGACATTTTAAGGTCTCTGAGTGTGAGTTTTGTAGTTGAACGTCTGTTTTGTAGTTGAACGTCTATTAAAGCAGAGTTATGGGGACATTTTAAGGCCTCTGAGTGTGTTTTGTAGTTGAACTTCCATTAAAGCAGAGTTATGGGGACATTTTAAGGCCTCTGAGTGTGTTTTGTAGTTGAACTTCCATTAAAGCAGAGTTATGAGGACATTTTAAGGCCTCTGATTGTGTTTTGTAGTTGAACTTCCATTAAAGCTGGGTTATGAGGACATTTTAAGGCCTCTGATTGTGTTTTGTAGTTGAATTTCCATTAAGCTGAGTTATGGGGACATTTTAAGGCCTCTGATTGTGTTTTGTGGTTGAACTTCCATTAAAGCTGAGTTATGGGAACATTTTAAGGTCACAGTGTGTGTATTTCGTAGTTGCCGTCTGGCTGAATGGTTAAGTTTCTCGGCTTCCGTGGGAAAGCAGGCTCAGTTCTAGCGCACAGAAGCAGGTTTGCAAAGGTTTGTGCCGGTAATGTAATGACATCTCTCTAGCTCTGTGTGTATGAGGTAATTAGATCTGTTCTGTCATCGCTGCTCTACCGATGTGTTTATCGCAGAAACTCATCACAATAATGATACCAATATGATTTATCGTGCAGCCCTAGACTGAAATAAGAAAAATTCACATCAGATCAGTCTTATCACCCTCAGATTTATTATAATTAAGCCCCACTTGGTTATCAAATCCCTAACAGCACAGAGTGCTAATCTACGAACATCTTTTGCCATTCATACTGTGACGAGCATAATTAAAGGGGCAAGAGGGGCCTCATCTGAGGCCAGTACTTTTATCCAGAGAGGGTCAATAAATACAGAACCAGCCAAGAGGCAAGTGTGCTTTCACATGGCAGAACACGTATCAATCAGCACTTCACACCCAGAGTCTCCACTACGAGTGTAATTTCATCACGAGTGGCCCCTCTGGGCCGGAGCAGGTGGTTAAGCTGCTCTCACACCGCGTTTTGGAGTGAACCGTTACTGGTTAATTACAAAAGACGAAGTTGCAACATAATTTACATCGGAGAGTAGCACTAATGGACTTTCAAGAGGTGTTCAAGAGGTGAAACACATGAAGGACAACTACGGCAGGAGCATTGAATCAAGACGCCGTAATATATAACCTAACTCAAATAACGAGAATTCTATTCCAATTAACCCCTCCATCCATTCTTCACAATCACTGCCCTCATGCTGCTGTGCAGTTTCACACTTTCAAATCACAAACCTGATTAAATTAACCAAGTAATTATAACGCTGTTCGGGAGCTCAGTGATGTGGGCTGGACACGGTAACGAGCAGCACATGGTCTACCCAGGATGGGAATTGAGGACTGCTGTTATGCATTATGCCAGAGCTTGTTTGGAACCTCACATTTTTGGTATTGAAAGTTTGCTTCTTAAGTTTTTGCTCTAGAGCTATGAAGCTAATGTCATTAAACAAGCAACAGAAGCTTCCCACCAAATAACATCACACAGGCGGCATGCTATGACATGCATTGTATGACATACTCAGTGGTAAAACGTGACTAGCCAGGTCTTCAGTTCAGTCAAAAAAAAGGAAAAAACAAAACCTCTACGATAACGCCGACATCTGCTAGAGCTCTACTAGAGCTAGGCTAACGATGGTGCACATCAACATTGGTCCCACCCACTGTAAAACAAAATGTGATTGGTTCATTGTTCCGTCACTTGTTAATCTAAGCACTCCTGAAGTCCTAACCTATGGGAGAGCTCGCCTGGCTACCACAGCGGAAAAATCCTGATTGGAGAAGCATTATGACTGTATTAAATGAAAACGAACTAAAAATTACAGACATGTATTTATAGTTCCTAAACATCAATAGACCTCCATATAAACAACCACACAAGCAAGTCTATTAGTCATTACTTAACAACTCAACACAATTTAAGGTACATTATGTACGAATTGTGTACATTATTTCTGCCGAGCTGAAAAATTTGCTCTAAGTGCTCCATTTTAGTAGTGCCAGGTCAGGCTGACCCAGAGGCAGAGAGTGAACGTGACTTTACCTCTTCCCCAGTGCCCTGCATGAAGTCCTGTGGGATGGCGTAGATTTTGTTGTGCATCTCCACGCTGCGCCGCTTCCCGCTGCGCACGCGGACCAGCAACACCCGGAAGTTCGTTCCGCCCAGATCCAGTGCCAGGAAGTCTCCTCGCTCTACAGGACAGGCAGATTACAGAGAGAGGCTTTAAAGAGCCGATACCATGCTTTTAAATAGAAGAGTTTGATGTATTAATTAAACATTGTTAAAGCTTTAAAATGTACTGCCCATTCCCTTATAAGGCTGACAAACTGAGTAGCAACAGATGGGCTACGTTCTATAACTGTAAACCTTCAAAGTACATAGATACAGAGCACGTTTCTGTCATTTTGTCCACCCTTTGTTTATTCGTGGTCCTCATCGCTGTAAACACACGCTTCAAGGGTCCTCAAACAGTTCCAGTCAACTCCTGGTCACCGCAAAAACAGCTCAAGGATGCACCTTAAACTGACCACATCATAGAAAACTGAATTTTGCTCACTTTTTTAAAACAAGAGCTTGATATAGTTTGTAAACACTGTCCAAGTTTTAAAATGTACCATTCAATCCCCACAGTTCACATATGGGCTGCAAAGAACAGTCCGTTTTTAAGATGTCACAAAAACCAATGCATGTACATACATCCACCTATTTAGCCTACAGCAGTTTAGCCCCGCCCACTGACACTGAAGTTATAAAGAGTGTTTCAGCCTGCTTGCTTTTGGAACAAGGCTCAACACAGGGGAGTCAAACAGAAAAGAGCTCATTTACATTTATTAGTCTTAAAGGCACAATAAAAAATGTGATCATGTAACTATGAATTATCACTACTTTTTCATATACAAAACCTCAAAGAAAAAAACAACTAAATATAAGAAAAAATGTAGGATATGGGGCCTCTTGCTACACTAGAACCAGATGCCTCTTAAAAGGTCTCTCACAAGTTATTACAGGAAATGTTTATACATTAGATGTATAGATATGTATGCCTACATGTGTATACTCTTTTATTGAACCCTTTATAGGTCTAAAATAAAATAATGGCGCTCCCGAGTGAGAAATGTCAGCAACTGCAAAGCAGTCACCAGAAAATAAACACAAAAATGACTAAAATGTAAGTTTCTCATTAATGTTCCACAGTAGAATTAAGTGTCATTTGTGAAAATACTCAGGAAAGTACAGATCCATCAGAATTGTACTTAAGTGCACAGAACTAATTAAAGAGAACACAAGCCCGGCTCATATAGAGAGAATTCTGCAGCCAAAACCCCTCAGCTGGAGCTAATCCTCTGCCTTGCCAGGTGATCGTCGACTCTCTGATTCTTTTAGAGCTTGACTTTATCTTTGATGTGATATCTTAATGAGGTAAAGATCAATCCGGGCATGTTCGCTCCCAGCAACTTTCCAATCTAAACGTTTTTATGTTTCCCTGCAACTCAAGACAGCACGTAAAAAATACCTCCAAATGTGACTTATCTGCCCTCCATACTTTGCAGTCTGAAAGGGTTGGAAAGACATCAAAACAGATCCACCCACAAAAAAAGGGTCACTTTTTTATTTGTGCAGCCTTGAATATGAAACAGAGTCCCTGACATGAGCTAAAAGGTTTTAATTTACTGTATAAAACATATGAAGTGAGTTTGGAACGATGCATGAGACTTGACCCACATTTATTTCAGAGGTTCCGGTGTTTTAAATGAGCTTTTTAAAAGCAGGTAGACCAGGATAAGGTTCATGTCCATTTAAGCACCCTAAACTAATAATAACTTGCTATATTCTACGTGATTCTTTCAAACCATCTTCACTCACAACACAAATGGGGGCTCCAAGGCTATGTTTGTTAGTCAGTACCATAAAATAGGCTTGTGCAATACTGCAACACTTGAACCCACCTACATAACAACATCGACATAACCATGGCTTAAACATATCATGGAAGATACACTACATGGCCAAAAGTATATGGCGCCTGACCACCACGCCTATATGAGCTTGTTGGACATCCTATTCCAAAACCTTGGGCATTAATTTAGAGTTGCCCCCCCTTCTGCGGCTATAACAGCCTCCACTCCTCTGAGAGGGCTTTCCACAAGATTTTGGAGTCAGTCAAAAGAGCATTTGTGAGGTCAGGCACTGATGTTGGAGAAGGCCTGGCTTGCAATTGATGTTCCAATACATTCCGAAGGTGTTCGGTGGGGTTGAGGTCAGGGCTCTGTGCAGGCCACAGACGTTTACGGAGCTCGCTTTGTGCACAGGGGCTCAGTCATGCTGGAACAGGAAAGGCTCTTTCCCAACCTGATACCACAAAGTCCTTGTATGCGGTAGCATTAACATCATCCCTCACTGGAACTAAGGAACGCAAACCCTGAAAAACAGCCCCAGCCCATTATCCCTCCTCCACCAAACTTTACCGCTGGCACAATTCATTCTGGTAGGTAGGTACACATCCACCAAACCCAAACTCGTCCATCAGACTGCCACAGAGTGATGATCTTTCACTCCAGAGAACACTCCAGAGTCCAGTGGTGGCACGGTTTACACCACTCCAGCCAAAACTTGGCATTGCGCATAGTGATCTTAGGCTTGTGTGCAGCTGTTTGGACATGGAAACCCACTTCATGAAGCTCCCGATGCACAGTTCTTGTGCTGATGTCGCTTCCAGAGGTAGTTTGAAGTATTACAGTCTGCACGCTTCAGCACTCGGCGGCCCCGCTCTGTGAGTTTGCGAGGACTACTGCCTCATGGCTGCAATAATAGTACTTACAGTTGACAGAGGCAGATCTAGCAAGGGCAGACATGTCATTAACTGATATGTTGCAAAGGTGGCATCCTCTGACAGGGCCATGTTTGAAGTCATTGAGCTCTTCAGTACGACCCACTCTACAAGCCATGACATGTTTATGGTATAGTTATGTCAACGTTATGCAACAGGGTTGATGTAAAGTGTTACCCAGTAGTGATAACACTACAATATGAGCCCCTTAAACAACCACAGGATTTTTACTGCATGCTATGAATCCTGACCAGTTGAAGTTCCAGGTAAGTATTATGGTAAATTATTATCACAATAATCTGGGCATCTTTAACCATGCATCACAACATGGACTTGCCAATGCATTTATACTATATTGCAAGGTAAAATATACTGCACCAGCAATATGTAGTCACAATATTAGTATTTTTCAATATTGTGTAGCTCAAATATGCCCAAACTGGGAAAGAACAGACTGAGATGAGGTCCCGAATTCAGTGTAATGCATGTGGATTAGGCTGCTAAAAATGTCCCAGATGAGCAGCGCCACCCTTATGACTGCAGTGTTGGTCCTATTTTCTTCCATTTATTTCTCATTGCTTTGCTGATGCACCATTTAGAGCTTTTAAAACCAGTAGCCCTTGAGAGTTCGCCTAATTCAGTGTTTCTCCTCATCCTGGTCTTAGTGCTTTCAAAAGCAAGTCAAATGTATTCCCATTACAACCAAAGCTTGAACTTCCTGACCTTTCACACCTCCATCTCCACATCTTCACATTAACACATTCAGGCACCAGCACCTTGCTCCTCTCAGCAGGTAAAGGAGCTTTAACAAGAATATCCTGTCCATGATCTATAGATCATTAAAGTTTCAGTACACGATTTCAATCCAGTACACTTTTTGACAAGTTCAGCGAAAGTCTCCTCACTGTCCGCCTGCTGTTCACTCTGCAGGCTGTTAAAAAATTCGGTGTTCGTACACAGCCCTGGCTGCACAAATGGAAAACAAACAAAGCGTCTCGGACCAAGCAACACAACACTATTCCAGCCAATCAGCAACAGCGGTATTCTTGCTCATGCACAGGACAGGGGAAACGGACGGAGGGACTACGTACTGAACTCCATGTACTGTCGAGAGAGAGAGAGAGAGATGGCTGAGAAACAGCCAAAGAGGAGACAATCTGAAGAACCAAGATGAAGAATGTAGTTCTTAGATCAGGCAGGGAGACCTCTAAGTTGATCAAGCTGAAGTTGGCTTCCTATTTAAGGTGGAACAAGAAAACTCAAAAACACAAGAAGCTGGTAAAAAAAGAAGCTGACCAGCTTCATCAAGAGTTAAAAGGCATGAAAACGGATGAGGAGGTTGCTCTGTTTTTGCTTGACAGGTGGGCAACATTAACTTACTTTTGCTGTTTCACAGAACCAGTAGGTCAGTACAGTTTTGCCCCGTTTACTAATGCTTGTGACAGCAACTGGTCAATTTCACAGCAGCAATTGTAGCGACAGTCTTCCCACAACCGAGCTAACATTAGCTACATTACTTGCTGTTTCGTTGTTTGGTCTAAAGTTATATCATGGTATTTGTCAGTACAATGTTTGCAAAGGGTTTTATGGCCATGAAGATCTAAAAAACAAGAAGGAGCGCAGGTGAGAGGGTGCATAAGAAAGTCCAGTGTGGGTCATCTTGGCAACGCATGCCATGAATTTGAAGGCAAGGAGCTTCTGAAGGAGAGGAGTGAATTTGTTTTGTATATTGAGCTTTTACTTTATTCAGCATTATATTATTTATTATGTAGTTCAATTAAAGTTCAAAAAAAGTACATTAAATAGAAAAAACAATGTGCTTGTATGATGGATGATATAACCAATAATCACAGTTTTTACCTAGAAAATATCAGTGACAGCATGTCTTCTTTTCCAGTGGTCAAAGGTAATGTACTTTTGTGAAAAGCCCAGTCAGACTTGCATAACGCTGCTGTCGGAACGAAACCTTTTTTTCCATTTTTCATGTTTTATACTTTTTACACAACTTACAGCCGCAAACTTTACAACATGCTAAAACGTCATGATGAACGGACCAGTAGAAATGCTCCAAAATTACCTGAAAAAATTTTAGTTCTATTAACTTCCATTCAAAGTCAAAAATGTTTTTGGAGATAAGAGGTTTGGAGATAAAAGTCTGACTGAGCCTTTCACAAAAGCACAACGTTACCTTTGACTACCGGAAAAAAAAACATGCTGTCGATTCTGAAGCAGCACAACGGTGAGCAAATGGATGAAGCTAAAGCTTCTTACAGCTGCCAGACTGTAAATGCTGCTAAACTGAATAAGAAGCTGGTGAACAGGACTTGATCCCTTGATCCCTTGATCCCTGAAGTAAACACGAGTTTTCCCTCCATGCCAGTGCTCTGACAATCACAGAGGACACGCAGTTCTTACTGTGATTGGTCAGAATGAGCTAATGTTCCAGCTCGTCCTGTACAGCTCATTTCGTAAACAGAGTTTTCGCATGAAAAAAATGCCACCTGCTTGTGCTGGAAACCTGTTCACACGGCTCGTCTGGATAACCAGCACATTAAAATGCGGTTGAATGATGATGCAGCCTGAAGAGCTATGGTGTTGCTCAAAATTATAGCTAAATTATAGTTAAATTATAGCTAATTATATTAGCTGTTGGTGAACAGAACCTCATTTTCCAGAACTCTGCCAAAAAATGTTGTTGTTACATCACATTTACAGGCCACATTTAAGCCGATTAATCTTTTAACCTCTTATTCTCGTGGGTATATTTTGGTTTTTCCGTCTGAATTTACATGAACAAATCATAAGGCAAATTATTCAGTAGCTGCATGAAATAAATGTACATTTTATTTTTTTTTTTTTTTGAAAAAGCTCCCCTCAAATTAACAGAACATGTGTTTTATGATCACACATATCGCTATATGCTTACAATTTACTGCTGAAAGCCAAAAATCTTAGACGCTCTTTGTATTATTTTATAAAAATAATGTTTACAGAGCAGATCACTGAAGAGACGCCATCTGTTTATAGTTTATAGCCCAGATTTGTGGAAAAATGGGTCGACTTTCAGTAGAAAAAAAAAATCGTGAGTTCAGCTTCTTTTATTATAAGGGTTTAAAATTACATCACCCATCTATTTGACTGGATAGAAGACAGTTACAGCTCTCATACGACCCCCACCTTTAGAATGTAGCTTATGAAATATGAAAGTTATGAAGAATATGACGAAGTGTTTTGGATCCACCGGTGGTCTCAAGGAGTTTAAAAGGTAATCAATTAGTTTGCAGCCCTAGTTAAAAAGTTAGAAGCGCCGACATGAACCCGTTGATTCAGACCGATTTCAAACAGTAAAGCAAATTCACAGTAATAACTCTCGACTTCTAGTGTAAACAATATTCCAGCTCTCTTCCTCCATTCACTGTTTTACAAGCCTGTAGAAATGTGTGTCGATCAGCCGGAACCTTCCACCTCCCCCTGCTTTCCAGCCCTTTTTTTCAATTGTTTTTTTGTCTGTTTGTTTGTTTTAGTGGTTTGTGTCTCATCTTCCTTTCGCGCCTCTTCAGCCAGCTGCCTGCATGATTCTTTGTTCCCTCTCCTCTTTCTTATGTACCCTCTCACCTGCGCTCCTTCTTTTCATCAGCTTAGAAGGCTCCAGCTGTGGTAGGCAGCAAACAGAAGACTCTGTTATGGTTCTCCACTCCTTTATTCCGCAGCTCCACTCTCAGTCTTGCTAATTCTCCCTCTTTTTTCCTGTCAGGCTATTGTAGCCTCTGCCCCTCCAGCTGCGGACCCCCATTTATATGGCTTCAATAATGCTTCATAGGTGTGACTACATGGCTGGAGGTTTTCCTTGAACACCCTGCAAAGTCATTCTGCATGTGGATCAGAAGGAAGATGGGTTCTTAGTCCCGCTCAGTGGTTCTTCCTCATACTCTCATGGAGTCTTGTTTTGAGTCTTGGTTCCTCTCGAAGGTTCTTCCTCATGCTCTTAAAGACTCCTTGTTTTAAGCCCCATGCTCTTAGGGAGTCTTTGTTTTGAGTCTTGGATCTTCTGATACTTTCTTCCTCATGTTCTGAGGGAGTCTTTGTTAAGAGTCTTGGTTCCGCTCTGAGGTTCTTCCTCATGGTCTTAGAGAGTTTTACTGTAGAGTCTTGGTTCCTCTGAGTCTTTCTTCTTCATGTTCTGAGGGACTCTTTGTTTTGAGTCTTGGTTCCTCTCAGTGGTTCTTCCTCATGCTCTGAGGGACTCTTTGTTTTGAGTATTGATTCCTCTCAGCGGTTCTTCGTCATGTTCTTCAGGGGTTTTTACCATCAAGTCTTGATTCCTCTGAGTCTTTCTTCCTCATGCGTTTAGGCAGTCTGTGTTTTGAGTCTTGGTTCCTCTGAGTCTTTCTTCCTCATGCTTTTAGGCAGTCTGTGTTTTGAGTCTTTGTTCCTCTGAGTCTTTCTTCCTCATGCTTTTAGGCAGTCTGTGTTTTGAGTCTTGGTTCCTCTGAGTCTTTCTTCTTCATGCTCTTAGGGAGTTTTTACTGTCGGGTCTTGGTTCCTCTGAGTCTTCCTTTCTTATGCTCCTGGGGAGTCTGTTTTGAGCCTTGGTTCCTCTCAGCAGTTCCTCTGATTCGTTCTCCCTCATTCTCTTACCGAGACCTTGTTTTGAGTCTTGGTTTCTTCTTTATACTTTTAGGGAGTCGCACAGCGGAAACGTATTGTGGTCCGTTGAGCCAACCTTTCGGAAATAATGGACACTGTTCTCCAGGTTACCCATCCACATCCTTAGCAGGGTTTGTCATGGTACGGGCTGTATTTGTGCCCATGGCATGGGTAAACTGCACCTTCCTGAAGCCAATTTTTTTAGGCACTGAGGTTTGTGGAAGCTGGAGAAAATAAACATGCTAATTTTTATGGCCACAACAAAGCTAACTTTCCCTCATGGTATGGTCTGGTAGTCATGCTGTAGGCTAAATTAATCAAAGCTTTAACAGCCAATAAAAAACTTTAATGTCAATACAACTTCAGCCCTGTTCATGTTTTGCGTGGGAAGACAGTCGGCGTATCTGAACGTCCCACTTGTTTTAATGAGCTGTTGGAACAGCGGTTAAACTAAGTAGTCACTGGCAGCAGCTGCAGATAAACTAGCGTGCCAAGGTCATAGGATTGCATCTAATACCATTCAGGGCTTTTATTCAGCACGTTGCCCATCATTATGAAATGCGGTCATGATAAGACAATGGAAAAGCTGCAGTACTTCACGCTGTGTGGCAGAGTGACCTGAAGTAAAACGCTCTCTCTGTTCCTTTCAGCTTCATTTTCAGAAGGGCTCTCATCAAAGCACTCAGATCAAGAAGAAAGAACATTTAGATTTCCAGCCCTCTGCGCTCCTGCCCCACGCTCATCTCCCTCATTAGAGTTATGAGGTTCCTGCTTTTTCAGGCCTGTATTCGTCCTGGAAATGAGCTCAGAAATATTAAATATATATACACTGATCAGGCGTAACATTATGACCACCTCCTCGTTTCTGCGCTCATTGTCCATTTTATCAGCTCCACTTACTATATAGGTGCACTTTGTAGTTCTACAGTTACAGACTGTAGTCCATCTGTTTCTCTGCATACTTTGTTAACCTGTTCTTCAGTGGTCAGGACCCCCATGGACCCTCACAGAGCAGGTACTATTTGGGTGGTGGATCATTCTCAGCACTGCAGTAACACTGACGTGGTGGTGGTGTGTTAGTGTGTGTTGTGCTGGTACGAGTGGATCAGACACAGCAGTGCTGCTGGAGTTTTTAAACACTGTGTCCACTCACTGTCCACTCTATTAGACACTCCTACCTTGTCAGTCCACCTTGTAGATGTAAAGTCAGAGAAGATAGCTCATCTGCTGCTGCACAGTTTGTGTTGGTCATCCTCTAGTCCTTCATCAGTGGTCACAGGACGCTGTTGGCTGGATGTTTTTGGTTGGTGGACTATTCTCAGTCCAGCAGTGACACTGAGGTGTTTAAAAACTCCAGCAGCACTGCTGTGTCTGATCCACTCAGACCAGCACAACACACATTAACACACCACCACCACGTCAGTGTTACTGCAGTGCTGAGAATGATCCACCACCCAAATAGTACCTGCTCTGTGAGGGTCCATGGGGGTCCTGACCACTAAAGAACAGGGTAAAAGGGGGGCTAACAAAGTATGCAGAGAAACAGATGGACTACAGTCTGTAACTGTAGAACTACAAAGTGCACCTATAGAGTAAGTGGAGCTGATAAAATGGACAATGAGCGTAGAAACAAGGAGGTGGTCGTAACACACACACACACTTTTCCAGATCAAAATGTTCGGTGAATTTTTACTTTTTAGACTCGCTGCTAATGTCGGAAGAAGCACTGCTATCTCGTTCCATCTCCCTTTTGAACGCATCATCAGTCTTCCTCCCTCTCCTCCTACCTTATTTTCTTTCTTAATTCCCTCGCTACTTTCTCTCTCTCTATCTTTTGCACATTATCTCTCTCATTCTTCACATTTCTGCTTCTCTCACTTTCCACCTCTCTTCACTTACAGCTACAGTTCACTGAAAATGAAACAGCAGCCCCTTTTCCTCTTCGCACTAATTATATGTGTGCACAACGGATAAAAAGTGAAACGCATGTTCTTATTTTGTGTAATTGTTGCTAAACCTTCAGTAATTACCGGCTTTTCAGCCTTAGACTCTCTGTATAGTTACGGTTCTCAAACAGCAGCAGCTGATGTTTGATCTGTGCTGATTTAGGGGCTGTCTGGTCGGTGGGTGTTCTGAATTGTTCACTGTTGTTTGTCAGAATGTGGAAAGCATTTGGGATGTAGTTTTAAAACCCTTCGAAGCTGAAGCTGCAATTGAAGCCCCCTTCTTTCTGAGGGTCATAAAACACCCCAGGACCACTGAGCCTCAATGAGGGACTCTTTCTCAGGGAATGTAGGCTGAACGAGCACACATACAATTCTGTCTGACCCTGTATAACTCTCTCTCTCTCTCTCCACACACTCTCCCTATCTCTCTACCATTATCTCGCTCTCTCTTCCTCTCTCTACACCCTCTATCTCTCTCTTTCAACACTCTGTCTATCTTTATACACACTCTGGCTCTCTCTCCTCCTTTCTCTCTACACCCTCTCGCTCTCTCACCTGTGCCGTCAGGTGTGGACCGGACGAATGTGGGCAGCATTTTGACAGTGGCCGAGTCGTGCGTGTTTTTGGCCAGTCCTTTCTTCATCTCTCCCTCCATCCTCTTCTTCACCTCCAGCAGCTGCTCTCGGCTCAGCCGCAGCGTGTCCAGCACACGCTGACGCTCCGCGTGCTGCTCGGCCAGCCGGTACGCCACCGCCGTTACCATGGCAGCACCCTTTCCACTGCCGTCCTCCGACCGCAGGAAACGCACGTCACAGTCCGGCACCAACAGTCGAACCATTTTGTGCAGCCGTCGCGCAAACCTGAACAAGGGAAGAAAAAGAGAGGAGAGTTATAGAGATGAAAGAAAGAAAGAAAGAAACAAAGAAAGAAAGAAAGAAAGAAAGGCAATATTTTAGTAAAGGTCACCATTTTTTTTAATAAGACTCAATTTTCTTCTATATCTGGACATTTTCAGTTAACATTTACACAAAGAGAGAGACAGAAAGAGAGAGAAACAGAGAGGGAGAGTGAGTGAGTGAGTGAGTGAGAGATACAGAGAGCGAGAGATACAGAGACACAGCGAGAGAGAGAGAGAGAGACAGAGAGAGAGTAACAGAGAGGGAGAGTGAGTGAGTGAGTGAGTGAGTGAGAGATACAGAGAGATACAGAGACAAAGTGAGAGAGAAAGAGAGAGAGAGAGAGAGAGAGAGAGAGAGAGAGAGGGAGAGTAACAGAGAGGGAGAGTGAGTGAGTGAGTGAGTGAGTGAGAGATACAGAGACAAAGTGAGAGAGAGAGAGAGAGAGAGAGAGAGAGAGAGGGAGAGTAACAGAGAGGGAGAGTGAGTGATTGAGTGAGTGAGAGATACAGAGAAAGATACAGAGACGAAGTGAGAGAGAGAAAGAGAGAGAGAGAGAGGGAGGGAGAGTAACAGAGAGGGAGAGTGAGTGAGTGAGTGAGTGAGTGAGTGAGTGAGAGATACAGAGACAAAGTGAGTGAGAGAGAGAGAGAGAGTAACAGAGAGGGAGAGTGACTGAGTGAGTGAGTGAGAGATACAGAGAGAGATACAGAGACAAGGTGAGACAGAGAGAGAGTAACAGAGAGTGAGAGTAAGTGAGTGATGGACAGAGAGATAGAGAGAGAGAAATCAAGAAGGGGCAGATCGTTCCCCCTTTAAAGGTACTCTAGAGGAAACTGCTGTGGCTGAATGTGCACTGAATGTCCTCTCAGCTGCCCTGATAATGACCGTTTCTGGGCTCTAATTTTCGAACTTCTGCACTTCTTTAAGTCACCAGTGCAGCCGCACCGACTCGATGCTCACTCAGAAAGATTTAACTGTAAGTCTGCACAAAGTCAAAAGGTTCAACTGTCAACTGAGTCCATTTACGCCACCGGACGCCACACTGTCATATTTCTACCACTGTTTACATGCACTACATGTCCAAAGGCGCGTAGACACCAGATCACACAACATTTCTTCAGAAATCAAAGGACACAATAAGAATAAGAAAGAAAGAAAGAAAGAAAGAAAGAAAGAAAGAAGGAGGGAGAGTTAGACCACAGAAATAAACAAAAAGATGAAGTTATGAAGTAAAAAAGAAAGAAAAAATTAAAGGGGGGAATTAAAGCAGAAAGAAAGAAAGAAAGAAAGAAAGAAAGACTAATAGAGTTAGAGCAGAAAAAAGAAAGAAAGAAAGAAAAGACAGAAATGGGGAGAGTTAGGCCAAAGAAAAAAACAAAAAGAGGAGGAAAGTTATGAAAAAAGAAAGAAAGAAAGAAAGAAAGAAAGAAAGAAAGAAAGAAAGAAAGAAAGAAAGGAGACAGAAAATGAAAGAAAGATATAAAGAAATATTGAGAGTTTGACCAAAGAAAGAAGCAAAAAAGGAGGAAAGTTCTGAAGAAGAAATAAAGAAAGAAAGAAAGGAAGAAAGAAAGAAAGAAAGAAAGAAAAGGGAGAATTAGAGCAAAAGGACGTTGTGAAAAAGAAAGACAGTAATGAAGAAAGAAAGAAAGAAAGAAAAAAAGGAGAGAGAGCAAAGAAAGAAATAATGAATGAAAGACCGCCTGGCCGGGCACTTTTAGACATGCACTGTACACTGCTGTAGAGTGGACACTGCTGTAGAGTGAACACCGCTGTAGAGTGGACACCGCTATAGAGTGGACACTGCTATAGAGTGAACACTGCTGTAGAGTGAACACTGCTGTAGAGTGAACACCGCTGTAGAGTGGACACCGCTATAGAGTGAACACTGCTGTAGAGTGAACACTGCTATAGAGTGGACACCGCTATAGAGTGAACACTGCTGTAGAGTGAACACTGCTGTAGAGTGAACACCGCTGTAGAGTGGACACCGCTATAGAGTGGACACCGCTATAGAGTGAACACTGCTGTAGAGTGAACACTGCTGTAGAGTGAACACCGCTGTAGAGTGGACACCGCTGTAGAGTGGACACCGCTATAGAGTGAACACTGCTGTAGAGTGAACACTGCTGTAGAGTGAACACTGCTATAGAGTGGACACCGCTATAGAGTGAACACTGCTGTAGAGTGAACACTGCTGTAGAGTGAACACCGCTATAGAGTGGACACCGCTATAGAGTGGACACTGCTATAGAGTGAACACTGCTGTAGAGTGAACACCGCTGTAGAGTGGACACTGCTATAGAGTGAACACTGCTGTAGAGTGAACACTGCTATAGAGTGGACACTGCTGTAGAGTGAACACTGGTATAGAGTGGACACTGCTGTAGAGTGAACACTGCTATAGAGTGGACACTGCTGTAGAGTGAACACTGCTGTAGAGTGAACACTGCTGTAGAGTGGACACTGCTGTAGAGTGGACACTGCTATAGAGTGAACACTGCTGTAGAGTGGACACCGCTGTAGAGTGGACACCGCTATAGAGTGGACACCGCTATAGAGTGGACACTGCTATAGAGTGAACACTGCTGTAGAGTGAACACTGCTGTAGAGTGGACACTGCTATAGAGTGGACACTGCTATAGAGTGAACACTGCTGTAGAGTGAACACTGCTGTAGAGTGAACACTGCTATAGAGTGAACACTGCTGTAGAGTGAACACTGCTATAGAGTGGACACTGCTGTAGAGTGAACACTGCTGTAGAGTGAACACTGCTATAGAGTGAACACTGCTGTAGAGTGAACACTGCTGTAGAGTGAACACTGCTGCAGAGTGAACACTGGTATAGAGTGGACACTGCTATAGAGTGAACACTGCTGTAGAGTGAACACCGCTATAGAGTGGACACTGCTGTAGAGTGAACACTGCTGTAGAGTGAACACTGCTATAGAGTGGACACTGCTGTAGAGTGAACACTGCTATAGAGTGGACACTGCTGTAGAGTGAACACCGCTATAGAGTGGACACCGCTATAGAGTGGACACCGCTCACTGCACTGGTTTTGAGCATGACCGGTTAACTGGTGTTCCGAATGTGGCGCTCGTTAGGAGAAGAACTCACCCCGTCACCGCGAGACGTGCAGCGTCTCCTCTAATCTTTCATTAGTTCACAGCACCTCGCCTGATATTTTCAATTAATGTCATTGTTTCATAACAACGCTGCTTTGTGCTGATTGGTTCAGCTGAGCTTTAAGATCATCACAGCACAATAGCTCCTAATGAGCTGAAGAGCAGCTGGGCGAAAATGATTAGCTGTGCACTGGTCACTGCAGTTGGTCCCTGCTTTGTGTTTAGATGGATTATGTTGTGCTATTTGTGCAAAGAAAAAAATGAACAAAGGAAACAAAACCCACCAGAAAGAAACATTAAACTGTAAAAAAATGAACATGAACACTAATTAAAGGAAAACATCCACCAGATTTCAAACACTGGCTTTTCAACTTGACCCAGTTTCTTACAGGTCGCCCTGCTTTGCCTATGCAAATGCCATTCTTTAGAAAACTGGCGTATATACAGTACAGTGGTGCTTCAACGTTTGTTAACCCTTTAGAATTTTCTACATTTCTGCAAAAATTTGACCTAAAACTTCATCAGATTTTCACACAAGTCCTAAAGGTACATGAAGAGAACCAAATTAAACAAACAAGACAAAAATATTAGACTTGGTCATTTATTTATTGAGGAAAATAATCCAATTATTTAAGGTGGAACGGGAAAATTCGAACAAGAAGCTGGTGAATAGCTGACTTCATGCTTCGTATCACTGAAGAATTAGGGGTGGGTGATAATAAATAATTGCCCCCCTCTTTGAAGGCATATGATGCCCTAAATGTAACTAAAGCCCAGCAGTGAGGAGCTGAACTTTACCCTCCTCTGCTGTCACTGCAGACTGGCAGGGTCGCCTACAGAGCAGCGCTGGTAGCTGTTAATGAAGTGATGCTCTTTTTATTTGAGGGTCTCATTTCAGAGGGAAGATTTCAACCACTACCCCTTGTAACTCAGTTCCAAGGGACAATGTGACACTTGAAAACAAGGGGTAGGGGTAAAAATAAGAAGTGGGACTGGGCCTAAAACAATTCTTCCGTATTATAAGAGTGAAATAAAGCACATCGTATTCGTGACACTCACTGTGGGTGGTTCTTGTAGACGGATCCGTCCACGCCGATCGTAGTGCGCAGCCTCTCTGCTGCCTTGTTATCCCGGATCTGCCGCAGGACGGCGGCCAGCGTGGCTGCACACAGGTGCGCCGCTCGCGTGGACACGATCTGACACACGCGCTGGACGGCCACGCAGTCCTCGGCCGACGGGTCCAGGCCCAGGCCTCGCAGGACCTGCTCCGCGTACACCAGGCCGTCCTTATCTCTGCAGAACACAGAACACAAAGAGAGCTTCAGAGGGGGTCCGGTTTTCACCGTAATTACCACAAACAGGCCATAATCCGACATTCTTCCTGCATTAGATTTTTCACCCAAGGGTGTTTGTGTGGTTTCTGTGCCAATAACATAAACATGTCATTTACTTTTACATGACAGCTTTCCAACCTCGCTGTACCCCACAGAACTAAACAGGCTGGCTTTGTTACTGGGCCTTTAGACTGCTGCGTGTAAATGAGCTCCGGCTGGCCTGTAGTCCAGGATCAAGCACTGCTTATAACATGAATGGCCACAGCTGAACTGCTGTAGGCTGAGTATGCGGCTACATGCTAAGGTGTTCGTGAGATTACAAAGACAATGGATTCAGCGATTAATTCAATGCAGCTTAGTTAGTGAGCGTTATCTTTTCAAATAGGCCCCCTCGAAGATCGGTATCGGGGCCGATCAAGGCATTTTTAACTGATCGGTATCGGCTTTATTGAATCTATGCCCGATCCTTTGTTTTACGTCAGTGGTCACATGGTGTCGTGACACTCAGCGGATTACAGCGAGTTTACTCAGGTAACTCAGGCAAAGGCTGCACCAGAGCAACACACACTAGGGCAGACGCTTTCTCGAGACAGCGACGTGGCCAAAAAGATTACCTAGAGAGTGGTCGAGTTCATCGCTTTGGATGACCAGCCTATCTCTGTGGTAGAAAACAGGTTTTCGCAGTCTTTTGGAGCCACGGTACGCCCTACCCTCTCGACACTACATCAGACACGGCTTTACAACAAGGTTCTTGAGCACGCACGAGATCTTCTATCAGATGTGAGTGCTGTTAGCTTCACCACAGACATTTGGAGCTCTGATGTTTCCCCGTCATTACTCAGCCTCACGGCGCACTGGATTGACTCGACTTTTGACTCAAGCGTGCGGTTCCCTCACTGGCTGCTATTGCTATTGCTCTGTGCCCCCTGTAGAAGTGTGGACAGTGAGTGACTCTTTAGTCCAGTCTCAAACGTCCCTGATGAGAGGAGGAACCGCGGCTGTCACCTAATCTGATTTTCCTCAAAAAACCCTTCACTTCATTTTGAGGTGAGAGTCAGAGTGCAGATAACTGAACCAGAGAAAGGAAAAACTGTAGCAGCTCCAACTGCTTTTCCCATTCAGGTTTTACTGTAATGCTGTTACTCTAATAAGTGGAAACTTATATTGTTTTTTACATGTTCAAGTTAAGCTGCAACACCACTTAAGTGGAATTGAGATCTCTGATTTTTAATTTTAGTATACTATTTTTACTGCGATGCTGCAGTAGGTGGAATTTCGTTTTTTTTATTTGTCATGGCTGTGAATGTTAAGCTATTACAACACTTTAAAGTGGAATCATAATTATATTACTAATATTGAGTGTTCTAGCTTTACTGCTGCACTAAGCGGAATTTATCCAAGCTCTTTATAAAGACATCTTTTAGTTTGTTCACTTTATTATTTTGTAAAAATAATAATAAAATAATAATACATAGTTCGGATGCAGGCAATTTTTTTCTTAATGCACTGCAGAGCTATTCAGTTATGAAGCATTTACATTGGATTGATTTTAATAACTGTAATGTACTTGAATTGTGCACTGTGCAACAGTATTACCTAGGAAAATCTAAGTATCGGATTAAGACACGATATCGGAAGATGGTCAATATTAAATGACTCGGATCGGGATCGGGGGCAGAAGAACTTGATCAGGACGTCCCTATCATCATATCAGATTTAACTCATTAGCTAATCAGCAAAGATTTCACGAGGTGAATTAGGTTAGCTTATGCTTATAATCATAACCGTCAGGAAAAACTGACCACAATATAAGTCAAGACTGGCCTGTACTAACGCAAACAGTCGAAAACGAGAAACAAACCCTTGCTCGAATCCTGTCTTGCTCAGTGTATTTGCTCTACTTTTATATATCACTGTACATCAACAGCAGCAGCAGCATCAGGCTTTCCAATAATGTCACAGTCACCGGGCTTCATCAGATGCGCTGATGAATGTCTGAGTAGAAAAGCAGTGGGGTTCACTAGGTGGTGCAATGAAAACAACAAGTCGCACCTGAATGCCAGCAAAACATCAATCAAAGCAATCATCGTAACAGTCACAGAGCACCGCGGGGGGGAGGAACACGCTGCCTGCTGCAGCCGAGGAGTCTGACAACCAACACGGGCTTCTGGGGTCACAGACCCGAAAGGACCTTTACTGCTCAGAACAGTGAAGTTACTTTTTGCCGTGTGTGAAAAAGGTGGCTGTTAGGAAACACTTGAGAACTTCTAGTTCAGCTACAGAGAGGTGTGACTGTCAGCACCACAGCGGGGTGGGTACGGTTACGTTACACTGTGGTATTTTTCTTGATTTCTTGATCTGGTATCATGATTACAAATTAATAGCTGATGAGATGCAGCATTTCTCAAAAAATGTGACCTGAAAAGGGCCAGAATTCACCTCCGCCAGAGAACCGGGCCGGATTGGTCCAAGAGTTGTTTACATTCTGTAATCTAGAACTGAACCTGCCCGGGAGCCGGTTAGACGTGCAGCATCTAATGCTGTGGGATGCAGAACAGTAAAACATGATCACTACTGTGATACAGAACATCCAGGGTTCAATCAAACCGAGTCACCTGGCTTGGATGAAAAAGGATGAGAAACAAGGAGGAGGAGGAAGAGGAGGAGGAGGAGGAGCAGAAGCAGAAGAAGAAGGAGATGGAGGACAAGGAGAAGGAGTAGAAGCTGAAGAAGAGGAGAATGGAGGATGAGCAGGAGCGGGAGAAGGTGACAAAGAAGAAGGAGAAGGTGAAGAAGAAGAAGAAGAAGAAGGAGGAGGAAGAGGAGGACGCGGAGGAGGACGAGGAAAAGTGGTAGAAGAGGAAGAAGAAGCAAATGGAGGATGAGGAGGAGTAGGAGTAGGTGAGAAAGAAGGAGGGAGAGAAGGTAAAGAAAAAAGAGGAGGAGGACGACGAGGTGAGGCGGTAGGAGAGGCAGAAGAAAAAGAAGGAGGAGGAGCAGGAGGAAGAGGAGAAGGAGAGGAAGTAGAGGGAGGAAGAGGAGCAGAAGCTGAAGAAGAAGGAGGAGGAGGAAGAGGAGGAGGAGGAAGATGAGAACAAGAAGAAAAAAAAGTAGGAGGAGAAAACAATGAAGAAAAAGAAGAAGATGAAAAAGGAGGAGGAGGAGGAGAAGGAGGATGAGTAGAACCAGAATAAGTAGGAGGAGAAGGAGGAGGTGAAGTAGTAGCAGAAGCAGAAGAAGGAGAAGAAGAATAAGGAGCAAGAGGAGGAGATGAAGAAGTAAGAGGAGCTGAAGAAGAGGAAGGAGGAGGTGGAGGAGGTGAAGTAGAAGAAGAAGGAGGAAGAGGAGGAGGAGGTGAAGCAGGAGAAGGAGGAGGTGAAGATTAAGAAGCAGAAGGAGGAAGAGGAGCACAAGCTGAAGAAGGGAAAGAAGAAGGAGGAGGAAAAGGTGAAGAAGGAGTAGGAGGAGGTGAAGCAGAAGAAGAAGAACAAGAAGAAGAGGAGGTGAAGCAGAAGATAAAGGAGGATCAGTAGGAGGAGGAAGAGAAGAACAACAACAAAAAGGAGAAGAACAAAAAGACGAAGCAGTACTAAAAGAAAAGAAAATCAGAAAAAACGAAGAACTAGAAGAATAAAAAGTTGAAAATAAGCAGCAAAAACAGAGAAAGCAGAAGAAAAAGAAAAAGAAGCACTAGAAGAAAAGAAAAAGAAGCACTAGAGGAAAAAGAAAAAGAAGCACTAGAAGAAAAAGAAAAAGAAGCACTAGAGGAAAAAGAAAAAGAAGCACTAGAGGAAAAAGAAAAAGAAGCACTAGAAGAAAAAGAAAAAGAAGCACTAGAGGAAAAAGAAAAAGAAGCACTAGAAGAAAAGGAAAAGAAGCACTAGAAGAAAAGAAAAAGAAGCACTAGAGAAAAAAAGAAAAAGAAGCATTAGAGGAAAAAGAAAAAGAAGCACTAGAGGAAAAAGAAAAAGAAGCACTAGAGAAAAAAAGAAAAAGAAGCACTAGAAGAAAAGAAAAAGAAGCACTAGAGGAAAAAGAAAAAGAAGCACTAGAGAAAAAAAAGAAGCACTAGAGGAAAAAGAAAAAGAAGCACTAGAGAAAAAAAAGAAGCACTAGAGGAAAAAGAAAAAGAAGCACTTGAAGAACAAAGAGCACAAAGCACTAGAAGAAAAAAAGAGGCAGAAGAAAGGAGGAGGAAGAAGAAGATCAAACCACAAAGTTTTCAAGTATGAAATGCAGAGGACGTGAAGGGCCGAGCTCCTCCGGCCCGATCGTGACCTGAGTCGGCACTGCCTATGAAGTCAGGCGGTCTGTGGTGAGTGACGGCTAACCTTACTTGGCCTGCGGGGGGCCTCGTGCCGCATGTATTAAATTCTCATCAGTTGAAGTCTGGCTTTCAGAAAGCGGCTCCTAATGAGGCAGCTGGACGAGGGGGCACTGGCATGCACTGACAAGCAGGAACATTATTATTAATGATGGTTATTATTCCACATGCACACTCTCCTCTCTTTGGGTAGCAAACATCCTGTACGAGCCCTCAGACATGACGCAAATCAACCTGCGCTCATACCTTCCTGGCACATACGTTCTAAAAAGGCGTGACACACAAACACACGCAGAGCACTGAAGGGTCCTTACTTCGGATTCTCGATGGCAGAGACGTAGCTGGTCTTGAAGTGTCCAGTAACCAGAAGATCTGCTGTGGTGTGGCCCCGAAACACCAGCCCCTCTCTGGCCATCTTCACCAGGACGATTCGCACCAGCTCCCCCATATACATCCCGCTGATCATCTTCTCGAAGCTGCATTAGAACACAAACAAGAACGTGAAGAACCATTTAGCGCAGGGATGAACTGTAACCCGTGCAGAGACCACCCATGGCCATTCAAAACAGCCATTAAGAAAAAGAAACAAAAACTAACATAAGCAAACAAAAAGTAAGAGTTTGATTAAAAGCTACAGTGAAAATGGGGCTCCTAACAACCACCTGGAAGACCTGGGAGACACCAAAACTGCCCCCATCAGATAAACAGCACTTAAAGCTTTCATCTCTGAGAGAGAGGAGAAAATCAAGCTGCTTCAGATCTGAAAACATCCACAGGTGTTTCTGTCCATCCTTCCACTGTGAGAAGACGACTCAGCGCTGTGGGTCTGAAAGGATGTGTAGCTGTCAAGAAGAACCTCACTGAGAAAAGGAGACGGACACATCGGTAACACTTTACTGTAGGGTGCTGTTCATAGGGCTACATGACACCTACATAATCTTCTTATGATAATATGATGATATGATTGACATAACCCTACACTGTTTATAAACGCTTATTGCAATACATGTCATTTGCTATAAAGGTTAAATTAGCCAGTTTTTATCAAAGTCAGCTAAAGTAGCCTTTATAACAGATGACGCCTGTTGTAATAAGCCTTAAGTAGGTGTCATGTAGCTTTACGAACAGCACCCTACAGTAAAGTGTTACAGACACATCAAACAAAGGAGCTGAACAATGGACTGACCGCCCCAGAGTCCAGACCTCAACATCACTGAATGTGTTTGATTACTTCAGAAAATGATCAACCAGCTTCTAAGACTGAACTTTGGAGGTGTGTCTGCAGATTCTTGGAGGAGCTGAAAGTGAGTCTCCTGAAAAGAATGGAAGCTGGAATAAAGGTAAAGAGTGACTCACCAAATATTCAGACATCTGATATTAGATTTAATTGTTGAGGCTTCTGTGAAATTTATATATATTTTTAAGATTCTTTTTCCTGATGCTGAAAAATTGTTCTGGCTGTTTTGACTGTAAAATAAATACATAAATATATGAAGGGTGGTTTCAGACTTTCGCACAATACCTATATATATATATATATATATACATATATATATATATATATATATATATATATATATATATATAGAGAGAGAGAGAGAGAGACAGAGAGAGAGAGAGAGAGAGAGAGATAAATGCATGTATATACACACACCAGACAGGTACTTATGTATACATAAAGGATATATGAAGAGTGGTCTCAGACTTTTGCACAATACCAATTTATATAAAACATACGCGACATGTCAGTATAGAGGTAGACATTATACATATGTCTGATATGTAAACATAGGTAACTGTGTGCGTTATACATATACATATATAGATAGATAGATAGATAGATAGATGTATACGCATGTATATACACACCCCAGACAGGTACCTATGTATACATATGGGACATATTTTTTTTATTTATAGGTACTTATGTATATATAATACATAGACATATGTATTACCCCACATTTCAACACTGTAGGAAAACAACTCTGTGTGTGTGTTGTGTGTGTGAGTGTGTGTGAGTGTGTATCATGTGTGTATCATGTGTGTGAGTGTGTGTGTGAGTGTGAGAGAGTGTGATGAAAGAAAAAAAAACACTGACTGGAAGCCCCTCCTTCTCCACACGTCCTCTAATCTACATAAACCAAATTCAATTTGTCAAACGACCAAACAAACAGCGCAGAACAAATACATAAACATGCGCTGGCTGACGTGGGCAGAGTTTACAATACAGTTCCCATAGACGGAACTGATTTTGAATGCACTCACTGACTCTGACAGGGACAACTGAGTTTATTATCTGTTCCAGCAGCTAAATTTCATCAACAATCATGCTACCTCAAACACCAACACCAGAGCACAGTGTGAACGGAACCTGCGGCCACTTCTAACACTCAGCACATTAAACCTGACATGAATGTAGCAAACTTTGATCCCTGTGAGCAGAGTAACATCTAAAACATGGCGTTGTGCATGATGACCCAAACATCTCCACCTTGGTCTCATCCGTCTAGGGCCGGGCTATAAAACGATAACAATAAGTATCGCGATATAACTTTTCCTCGATAGAGCGATAAGACAGGTTTGATAAATGTTCGATATAATACACCATTCTCACACTTCCACGTTTTAGCGAAAGCCTTGGTGGCGTTTTCTACTGCAAGGAAAGCGACACTACTCTGTTGTCGCCAGGAGAGGGCGCACTTCTGAGTTTTTCGACTTGATTAGAGAGGGAGGGGGCCACGAGTAAAAAAAGGGTCGCCATATATACTTTAGCAACGTCTGAAACGCGGAGTTATACATTCCCTGTTTGAGTGGAGCGACCGGCGATCTGTTCTCCTGTGACCGAGTGTGAGTGACGAGGTCAGTGACGTAACTGTACTGTCCTACAGTGAACTCACCTCTTTCTGTACATCCTAACAACTTTAGCAGTGTTAAATCACGTCTACAGCGCTGTGTTACAGCGCCAACCGTCATATTTTAGTATTAGTGCATTCTCGAGCAGCGAAAGTGAAAGAAAGAAGTGGGTTCATGTTCGAAAGTAAACTGAGGAAGCTGTGAGGCACTGGAGAGCGGGAGAGCGCTCTCTCTCCAGGCTACTGGAACTGTAGATCAAACACGACACAAAATCACTGCTTTCAGCTTAAACATGCCTAAAAGGAGGACTCTGTGACTGGTGTGAGAGATTCACACTGCAGATAATGCTTTTACACAGCGAGCGTCAGATATACTGCGGTTCACCACTTAAACTATTACGATAGCATAGAGAAACCCAGCCGTCTAGCTGGTGTCTGAATACTGTGATCTGCTCTGACATGGATGTGGTAGGAGTGACCGCAGTGACCTACCAAACCGAGTTGACGTTGTTGAGAAACTAAAGAGTTTAGCACTGTTGTTGGTCACTTGTTTAGCGTTTGTAGCGGGGTAGCCGAGCGCTCGACACCAGACAGATAAAAATAATCTGTTTTCTTTCTTAAATCATGACTATTACAAAAAGTGCAGCTGTGCTTTTCCAGCTAATAAAAACAGCTCAGAAACTTTCTCCCACACTTCCATGACAGATTAGTGAAATGTTCCACTGTTTGCCGAGTGTTTGTCATGATCGGACCATAAGTGATAGTTTAAAACCACAGTTAACCACCCAGGACCAAAATCAGCCTTCAAACGTGAAAGAAATCATGATTTGACATTTATCGCGATACGTATCGATATCGAATGATATGAATTTCGTTTATCGTGATAACGTTTTTGGCCATATCGCCCAGCTCTACATCCGTCCAAAGAACACTGGGCCTCATTTATTAATATCTTCCAGTTTTCTCTTAGATTTGCTCTTCAGAAAGGTCCTAAGAAAAAGTCTACATGATGTGTTCTTAAAGCGCAGAACCGTTCTCACCTGTGTGCTCTTGAGTGTGTGTAGATTCTGTTCTTACCAAAGAACAAACCCCAAATAAGAAAACATTGGTGAACGTCAGAACCTCATGAAAACTGTGGTTGGTGTAAACTGTGGTTGGTGAACGAGGCCCATTGTTCCCAAACCTTTGTTGAGACGCGTTCTGCAAAGCTAAGTCATGCTGTCGTATTCTTTTTGGAAACAAGAGACTTTTTTCTAACCAGAAAATCAGTGTTTTTGTGTTTTTGTTCAGTCGTTTTTCTAACTGCGCTGTCATGAACATAAACATTTTACGTGCTTACAAGGCCTGTAGGTCACGTGACGAAGCTCTTGGGTTTTTCTTTATTTTTCTCAGTATTCAACCTGGACCTTGGTCTGAATTTGAGCAGCAATAACTGCTTCTCTGAGGTCACAGCCAATGTCCGTTCTTCTTAGCATGATGTAGACACACCTGAGTGCTCCAGAACACCAAACTGCCAAAAGTTCTGCTTTTATAGAGGTGGTCAAACTTATTGATGATGACCTAATCTGGTGCAATTGATTAGTAAGAACTGTCTTCAAGTGAAGTCGAAATGTATTTATATAGCACTTTTTACAACAGACGTTCATTATGAGCCTCATCTCTCAAATCCGATTTTTTGCCCAAATCCGATCTCTTTGACAGGATGGTTCACACTCGTTTAAGTAAGTGACTCAAATCTGTCATTAATGTGACGAGCCGGCGTCCTGAAACGACCCTCATGCGCACATCCTACTCAGTAACGTCACGTGAATGAATCACTGCATCATCAGCACAAACTAACGAGCAGAACGAGCTTCGCTGAGAAGATCATTAACTCTGATCAGCTCTCAGCTTCATTATTAGAGCGAGACGAAGGAGAAAAAGGTGAGATGAGTTGCTTTTCCACCGTTTACAGGCTTTAACTTCTGTTCGGCGCTGCTGCCATGGTAACGCTGAATGATGGTCACGCGCAGTGGAAAAAAAGCACAGGAATTCCGATCTGAGCGTCACATTAAGGTGGCATGGCCACGAATCGGATACGTATCCGATCTAGGACCACATATGAAAGTAGCTCAGGTCGGATTTGAAAAGATCAGATTTGTGCATCCACACAGCTATGAAAACATCAGATCTGAGTCACATTAGGGCAAAAAATCAGATTTGTGCCACTTCAGCCTGGTAATGTTAACGGAGCCAAAGATACAGAAAATGGAAAAGAATTAGAAAAGGCTTGCTCAGCGTTCAGGAAGCTCCATGGTGGTCAAAGTACTTCAAGGTGCTTCTAAGTACTCTTAATAATTGTGAAAGTAGTAAGGGTGGACTTCTTTTTTCCACCTGGTTTCTGAATGCTGGTTTACTTTTGGGGGAAAAAATGACTACCTACTAAAATCTGTTGTTTTTTGTTGTGATCTGAGGTTATTTGTTTGTTTCTAGAAGCTGGTGAGGACCCCCTGTTGGACTCTGCTCTCATGGAAGAACCACTCTGCTCAGTCTGACCTCTCTCCACCCTCAAACCTCCCTTAATAGTCAGCCCTGCTGCGTCTGTAAACTTTTCCCCACCAAACCCGAACGGGTTAAACCACTCACCGGTGATTGTTTACAGCTTTTACAGCCTCGCCCTGTTCTATTGTCCTTTACAGGCCCGATGGGAGATCTGTGGGAAAACCGGCCCCCTTAACCCCCTCCCCTTCACGGAAAGTGGGTGGTTTCACACGCTCCCTCATAGGACAGTGTTTAACTTGTGTGTACTGGTTTAATTCCTTCCCCATGGATTCTAAAGATAAGCGTTCACTTTATCTCACTTTTCTTACATTTATTTAGTTACCGGGTAAAATGTATGTATATAATAAATCCATATAGCTCAAAAGTGAAAGGAATCGGAATAGAATGCATCCATGTAAACACCTCAATCGGAATAGACTATTTTAATTAAAGCCAATTTCTATCAGACAGAACGAGCTGGGTAATCCTGTAAATAATCCGTTAAATAGAAGAATAATATCCGTGTAAATAGTGAAAGTCATAGTGAAAGTTTATACCGTTCAACATGGCGGAGCAGAAACTGGTCTGCAGAGGAGACAAAGTTTATGCTCTGATCTTTAAAAGACGGCGGTGGGACGGACGTCCAGCTTATGTGTCTCAGAACGCGACGTCTTCCTCTCGGCCTTCTTTAATAAGGACATGTGAAGTACGTTTTCCTGAGTCTGACATCATTTTAATAATATCATTTTATCATTTTAATAATAATAAGATAATAATAAGATAATAAGATAATAATAATTTTATCATTTTAATAATAAGAAGAATAATATCCGTGTAAACGCCTGTATCTGATTACATTCCCTATCAGAAAGTTTAAGTCCGTTCTGATCAGCTTATGTGTCTCAGAACGCGACGTCTTCCTCTCGGCCTTCTTTACATGTGAAGGACGTTTTCCTGAGTCTGACATCATTTTAAAGCAGTTAAAAACACAAGCACTGCTCACTGCTGCTCATCTCACTCTGACTGGCTCGTTGTCATGGTAACGTCTACACTAAGTGGTTCTCTACACATTGTACACTTGTAGTGAGCACGAAAACAGAGATTTTCCATCAGATGGTTGAGTAGAGTGAGATATAAACACCTCAGTCTGAATCTATAATCAGAATATATTCAATCGGATCGGGAAAAATCTTTGCATGTAAACACAGCCATTGTGTAGTACCAGCTGATACACTGGTGAACATCATAATGCACACACTGCTTATACCGGAGGTTAACCTGTGCCATCTTGTGCAACTAGCCCATAGGAGCCTCAAACGTATGTATTGTGTCTGAATTTGCAGCACCTTGCAAATGACATACATTAACCAGGTGTATTTTACTTATCAATACATCTACAATAATGATGATAATTTGCCCAGCACTGTTGTAGTAGCAGCCTATTCAGTAGTTACAGGCAAAAGTCTGTCATTTTGACCTCTAAGAAAGGAAACCATCAGTGTTACTCTCTACAGCAGGAACTGAGCTCTATTCTTTTTAAACATTACTGACAATCATCCAGCCAGGAACTGAGTTCCATTCAATCAATACCTCCCCACAAATGACATGGAGGCCAGGAGCAAGAGAGGAGGGAGCTGCTCATTCCCTGGTGACAGCTCAGGCCTAGCAGTGTTGCTAATGCGTGTGCTACTTGTGTCACTCACAGCTGTTTGCCCGGGTTGATCGAGCCGGCATCAATCTCGCGGTCGAAATCAGTGCGAAGGTCCTCGAGGGAGCCGTCATCTCCGAACGCCCCCCACTCCATGTTCACGCACATGCGGCCCTCGTCCCCCTCCACCAACTCCAGGTTACGCATCTCCTCCATGTAGCAGGCGTTCGTGCCCGTACCTGCAGAAAAGCTCATCTTAATTGGGTGTAGCGCCATTTTGGACAGAGACTATTAATGATCGCGTCACTATCCTGCTATCCTGGACATCACATCTCCTCCACGACCAACAGGTCAGACAGCGGAGCAGCTTCAGCAACAGACTCCTTCAGCTCCGCTGTATTGAGGAACGGTACAGGAGATCGTTTGTACCAACAGCAATCGCACTGTACAGCACCTCGTCACCGTGTCGGGACATTATTGCGTACTGAGCAACTTACAGGACAGGCTCGCTCGGCACCAGCTGGACATTATATATCTCTACTCTTTACTGTGCACTGCCATTTTGTTTATACATTTATAAATATTGCATAATGCACTTCCTTCTTTGTTTATACTCCCATGCATATACAACTATTATCATATCGCTGTTGTTGGAAGAAAGCCTCATATCTCCAAAATGGTAACTTTACAGGAGAAGGAGAAAACATACTTTACTTTTAATGTAAGTCAATGGAACCAGAATCTTTTCTAAGTCATTTTGGGTCATTTCTTTTAGTCCATTCATCATGAAATTCACACACAATGTAAAGGGCAACAGGTATTTTCAAATTTTGTCAAAAACTGAAAAACGTCAAAAATGGAGATACGAGGTTTTACAGCGATATGGTATTGTTTACAGTGTACAGTCACTCGGTTCATCCACTGGACATGACATGCACCACTGCATTGTCACCTGCATAATATTTATGCGATTTTACTTACTTATTTTTGTACTGCACATTAGAATTTATGGTTGTTTTAGTACATTTTATTATTCATCTTTACTACTTCTTCTATTTATGCGTCTGTATAATACAGAAACAATGCTTTTGCTCTTATTTTGCTCTTTACTGTACTTTGTGCCGCTGTAACGGTCGACTTTTTCTCTGGGATTAATAAAGTGATCGATCAATCTATCCATCTATCTATGTATCCATCTATCTATCTATCTATCTATCTATCTATCTATCTGCAGATCCATCTATCTATCCATGTATCTATGGATCCACATCTAACCATCTATCTATGGATCCATCCATCCATCAATCTATGGCTCACTATCTATCTATGGATGCACATCTATCCATCCATCTATGGATCCATCCATCCATCCCATTTACGCTTAGAGAGAGAGAGAATGCACAGTAAGAGGAGAGGGAGAGAAAAAACAAGAAGAGACCGCAAGAAAGAGAAGGTGACTAACCTACAATGAGGCCAATCTCACAGTGATGGTCGTCATAACCGCAGGTCATCATAGTGCCAACGGTGTCATTGATCACAGCAACAATATCAATGTCAAAGTCCTGGTAGACGAAGATGTAAAGAAAGACAGAAACAGTTTGAGTGCTACTCATTTCATCTCTACAACCTGAAACAGAATAAAACACCACAAAGAAACGGTTCGGTAACCTTTCAGAGAACTCTGGGCTCTTGAAAGGCACGTCTTCGGATCACTATGATGCTTTTCTCCAAAAGTAAGAGTGTTTCAAAGGCAGTTTACGGGTTGCTAAAAATCAAATAAGAACTGCAGTTTCACTGAATAAAGCTCAGCTGCGCTTCTAAAAGATCTCCCACTCCTATCAAAGTTCTCTACAAGGTCTACAGTCCAAGCCAGCTCCAGGTGGCGCTGAGTGATGAAACGTAGCTTTGATGACTGCAGACACGGCAATAACGGAAAAACTAGCAGTGCTCATTCAGTTCAGTTCTGAATAAGGCATGAAGCTGACGCTGTTCTTACCGCTCTCCTCTGGATGGCTTTCCTCAGCAGACCCACAACGTCCTTGCCCTCCACTCCGCTCGCCTTGAAGCCCTTAGTCCACGATACCAGGAAACTCTACAGAGATTGAGATGCAAAACGTGTCAGAATCAGTTGAGCTAAACAACGGATTAAATGTGGAGACACCAAAACAACCACCCTGAACAATGTTCACAGAAAAAAACTGGTGAATTTGTATTATTTTTTAGTTTTGGAGGCTGAACAAACAAAAGGAAGCGCAGATTCTTTTGTACACCTTCCGTAAAGAAGAACAACAGCCGCACATTCAGTGCTAAAACGGCATTATATGCCAGACTGAGTGACTTGATCTGCGTGAAGCTTCTTTAACTCCTTTGTTTTTTTTGTGTCCTTGAAATAAAGCTGGTGGCTTTATTTCTTTAGATACAAGAAGGCCAGGCTTATTTGTACAAGCATTATTTGTTCAGAATCAAATTTGAAAAAAAATCTGATTCAGTGTTTTTGCTGGTCACACCGTCTCACAAAAAACAAATCTGTACTCTGCAAAATTCACCACTCTTTATTTATTTCATTTCCATTGAAAATGGCCATTAAGTACCAGTTATTCACTGTTCAGGAGACATTTCTGAGAAGATAATACTCTTGCACAAGGGAAGAGAAAGTCAAAGTAAGTAAATAAGTAAAAAACCAGGAGTTTCTGAACTGAAGTCCAAAAAACGATTAAAAGCTACAGAGAAAATGTGGCTCCTAACAACCACCTGGAAGACCTGGCAGACACCAAAACTGCCCCCCATCAGATAAACAGCACTTAAAGCTTTCATCTCTGAGAGAGAGGAGAAAATCAAGCTGCTTCAGATCTGAAAACATCCACAGGTGTTTCTGTCCATCCTTCCACTGTGAGAAGACGACTCAGCGCTGTGGGTCTGAAAGGATGTGTAGCTGATCAAGAAGAACCTCACTGAGAAAAGGAGACGGACACATCAAAGAAGCTGAACGATGGACTGACCACCCCGGAGTCCAGACCTCAACACCACTGAATGTGTCTGGGATTACTCGGGAGAAAGTATAACCAACTTCTAAAACTGAACTTTGGAAGTGTGGAAAATATTCCTGCAGATTTCGTTGAAAAACTGAAAAGAACAGTATAATAATACAGAATAACACAATACAAGCGGTCTCTGTCTTTTGCACAGTACTGTAACTGTATAAAAGGGGAAAAAAAATCAGGTTTGGGCCACATTTACCAGCAGGGTCATTTCTATTGGCCCATTCATCCTGAATTTTCTTCATTGTTTAAAGAAAACTTTGCTCCATTTTTTAATAATTAGCAAATGTCAGATTCTATTTACACATCGTGTAAAATTTTCAGGATAATTCGACCAATAGAAATGGTCTAAAATGACTTGGGTTACATTTAACTGTGGAGCAGTGGTCATAAAACTACATCACACCTACACTAACCTTTCATGACAGCTGACCTGTGGAAACATTCAAAAGGCTTTCAACAAAGCAATTATCAAAAGCTTTTCTGGGGTGAAATGACCTCAAAATTGGCTAAAGCTTTATGACAACTAATGCTTGGTGGAATAAGCCTTAATAAATGTAAATGTATGGTTTATGTCAGTTGTCATATAAGGCTTATGTAGATAGTCTTACAAACACTCTTCAGTGAATTCTCACAGAATCTTTTTACATTAACTTCCTGTTCCTGTACAGTTAGACTGAGAGATATGAGGTTTTGTTTCAGACAGCGACAAAATGTACGGCTCTGTAATGCAACATATCCTTAGCCAGCGTTTTATCACATATGGAACGGTGTTCCACTGATCAGACGGTTAATTCTGAGAGGTCTGAATTTACCACACTTTATCATTTATGTGCTCTGCTTTTTTCTCCTCACCTCGTCCAGTTTGGTCTGCCGACACGGGAAAGAAAAGGTGAAGCCCAGAGGCAGTTTCTTGTTTTTGATCCCCATTTTGTCCATGAAATTGGCCAGGCACTCAGCGATGTGGTCGAAGAGCTGGTCAGCAGGGAGAGAGGAGTTGGTTAAAAAGGTCAGCTTTTTCCGAGCCTCCAGCACGTCTCTGCAAACTGCTAGTCGGCTTTCATTTTTGTACTATGCTAAATTTGTCATCTTGAACCTTGAACCTTATAACATCCTGCAAACGTATAACTGGATTAATAATAAAGCAAATACTAGGTTTCAAAACAAAAGTCATCAGTAATGTACATCTACTGTGTTTTGCCACGTTGGATATGGCAACTAAAGCATTATTACAATCATCTAACTCTACGAAAGAACTGTGAATTCAGTCATTTTCATATGTTTCATATTTGCTGTACTGTTTTAGATTGAAGTTTAAGAAATTCTAAAATAAGACTTTACAAATATCAGCCGTCACAATCTCTGACCGCATAAGCTTCGAGCTTGAAGGGGAAAGAAGGTGAAAGTTTTTCAGAAGGACATTTTCACACTGTCGTACTCAAATAAGTACAAGAGAAAAACATGAGCAGCTTTTGATTCTGAGTGGATATCTAGTTTTCAGAACATGCCTTTTGTTTTCAAACACTGATCCCCTTCAGGCTGCGAAGGTCATGATCATTGCGAGTCTCCAATTATGAATCTCTATTCAAAAGACATCAATGCAAATTCGAGACCTTTTTGCCTGAAAGGTCAGCTTCTTACTATTGACTACAGACGACGCAAGAAGAGCTCTGTCCTAAAATCACTTCTCGTTCAAACGCTGCGGGCTTTCATTGTGGTGTTTATCTCTTTGTGATCCTCACTATGGAGACTACGGTCATAATAAAAGATGGACTCTAAGCTGCCCTTCACTCCACATGAAAACAGGAGAAACTTTTAGGAAATTGGAAAACTTTTCCTTAAATTTCTTCCAGCACCTGCACCACAAAATAAAAATCAGATAAAGAAAAACAAGTGCAGGAAAGTGAGAGAAACACCAACGAACTGCAAAACATAATAATTCAAAGCTCAAATGAGCAATTTTTCAAATGCAACAGCGTAAATGAATAAATGAAATAACATTTTGATTGAAATGCTCTGGATGGTCTGTATTAAACTGCTGAAAAGAGAGAAAAGCATCTCTAATATATTTATATTTGGTCTTATATTCATCAAAAACATATACAACATATACAAGATATGCCCTCAACTTCGCATGGAATTAATAACTAAGCTAAAAACTCATGTAAAGGCAGCCAGACTGCTTTGAAGAAAGAATTAGAGTAATCTGGAAAAAGAAGCCCCCCATGGTAAGATGTCTCCCCCAACTTATTTTCTCTCCTGATCAGATGATGCGGCCAAATCTGATCTCAACACATTTACTGAGCTGTGAGCTCTGGTACGGAGCCCCACTGGTGACATCCTGGATAAATAGAAATGCATAACCACAACACAGTAAGGCAGGGGAACGAGATCCTAATGCGTGGCCACAACTTTGTAAGGCAGGGCAACGAGATCCTAATGCGTGGCCACAACTTTATAAGGCAGGGCAACGAGATCCTAATGCGTGGCCACAACTTAGTAAGGCATGGGAATGAGATCCTAATACGTGGCCACGACTTAGTAAGGCACGGGAATGAGATCCTAATACGTGGCCACGACTTAGTAAGGCACGGGAATGAGATCCCAATGCGTGGCCACAACTTAGTAAGGCATGGGAGCGAGATCCTAATGCGTGGCCACAACATATTAAGGCATGGGAACGAGATTCTAATGCGTGGCCACAACTTAGTAAGGCATGGGAATGAGATCCTAATACGTGGCCACGACTTAGTAAGGCACGGGAATGAGATCCGAATGCATGGCCACAACTTAGTAAGGCATGGGAACAAGACAATTAAGTTGTGGCCATGAGTTAGTAAGGCATGGAAACGAGATCCTAATGCGTGGCCACAACTTAGTAAGGCATGGGAATGAGATCCGAATGCGTGGCCACAACTTAGTAAGGCATGGGAATGAGACCCTAATGTGTGGCCACAACTTAGTAAAGGCATGGGAATGAGATCCGAATGCGTGGCCACAACTTAGTAAGGCATGGGAACGAGATCCTAATGCGTGGCCATGACTTAGTAAGGCATGGGAACGAGATCCCAATGCATAACCACAATTTAGTAAGGCAGGAGAACGAGATTCTAATGCGTGGTCACAACTTAGTAAGGCATGGGAATGAGACCCTAATGTGTGGCCACAACTTAGTAAGGCATGGGAATGAGATCCGAATGCGTGGCCACGACTTAGTAAGGCATGGGAACAAGACAATTAAGTTGTGGCCACGAGTTAGTAAGGCATGGAAACGAGATCCTAATGCGTGGCCACAACTTAGTAAGGCATGGGAATGAGATCCTTATGCGTGGCCATGACTTTGTAAGGCATGGGAATGAGATCCTAAAGCGTAGCCACAACTTAGTAAGGCAAGATGTCGTGGCCACACGTTTGGATCTTGTCTCCACACGTTACTAAGGCGTGGCTTTGTATTATTTTTATTTATATGAGATGTCACCAGCAGGGCACCATACTCTGGAGTGATAGAGCAACATCCAATACCTTTGGGATGAGTTGGAGTGATCCAGAACTGACCATCCAACATCAGTACCTGACCTCACTAATGCCCAATCAAATCCTCACAGCAATGTGCAACATCTAGTGTAAAGCCTTTACAGAAGAGTAGAGGTTGTTACTGCAGCAGACTCTGGACATCTACTGTAGAACTATACTGATACACTGTACAGCCCCCCGCACACATACCTCTGTCCCGCTGCCCCTCATCAGGGTCTCTGGAATGGCGTAGATTTGGTTCTCCATCTCCACTTTCTGTTTGCCATTTGCAGACACCTTTACGAGCAGGATACGGAAATTGGTTCCTCCGAGGTCCAGAGCCAGGAAATCACCACTTTCTGCGCCAAATAATACAGGAAAAGAGGTGAAGTCATGTAAAGGCAGTTTCTGATCATCAGAAGATGTGATCTCATAACGAGAACATACACTCACTGACCATTTTATCAGCTCCACTTACTATATAGGAGCACTTTGTAGTTCTACAGTTACAGACTGTAGTCCATCTGTTTCTCTGCATACTTTGTTAGCCCCCTTTTACCCTGTTCTTCAGTGGTCAGGACCCTCATGAACCCTCAGAGCAGGTACTATTTGGGTGGTGGATCATTCTCAGCACTGCAGTAACACTGACGTGATGTTGGTGTGTTCGTGTGTGTTGTGCTGGTCTGAGTGGATCAGACACAGCAGTGCTGCTGGAGTTTTTAAACACCTCAGTGTCACTGCTGGACTGAGAATAGTCCACCAACCAAAAATATCCAGCCAACAGTGTCCTGTGGGCAGCGTCCTGTGACCACTGATGAAGGACTAGAGGATGACCAACACAAACTGCGCAGCAGCAGATGAGCTATCGTCTCTGACTTTACATCTACAAGGTGGACTGACAAGGTAGGATTGTCTGATCCACTCGCACCAGCGCAACACACACTAACACACCACCACCACGTCAGGGTCACTGCAGTGCTGAGAATGTAGCTTAAATAGCTGCCACTGACTCGCTGTCACAACAACGCCAACCAGTCAATGCAGGAAACACATTCGGTACATATTTATAAACCTCCCACCTTTGCTTTCTTTGCATTTCTGAAGTTGAGGACTTTTAAATCAGCTTAATATGACAGTAACATGAGATCGATGCAGTTTTTCCTCTGAATCCTAAGACGTTTCACCCATTATAGCAGCCAACGCTTTGCTTAACTGAAGACTATTCACTGCTTTCAGACACATTTCACAGAATACTGACTGCGAAGGTGACAGAAACGCAGAAAGTTCATGCCTGATTTATCTCCTCTTTCATTTGTCAGAACTGATAAGACCTCAACATTAACACTCCTCTCTACTCATTAAAAGCCTTGACAGGATCGTGCAGTTAAGCCTACAACTGTCACGTCTCCAACTGCTGATTATTCAGAGATGCACTGCTATGAGATTTCTGTGCCAATATGATAACTGATAATGAAAGAACTGATACCGACGTCAATGACCGACAATTAACACCTGACTGCAGCCATTACTGATGTCAACAACCAATAGTTTTAATCAGTTATTTTAATGTAATTAATTTCACTACTTTATAATACATTATATATGTGTTTTAGATCATTTAGCACAATATTCTTATTAGTAGTGGGCAGTACGGCCAACGATGTATCTCACAGTAGAATTAAGACTACTGCCCGTTCTGTATATATCACGTGTATAGTGTATTTATATTGGATGCTTAAGTAAATCTATTTTGTAGATTGACGGTGGGATATTATTCGGGAATGTCTCTTCGCTTGTAATAACAACAAGTGAAGTGAATATAAAATATTTTTAAATTAGCAAAATAATAAAGACAGAAACAATATATCACCCACAACTAACTCCACTCACAGTAATAAATGAATGTAGTATCGAAAAAAGGACTCTTATTCTGGCGTTCTCTTTTTTGTATTGCAGTGATTTGCTTCACATACAGTCTCAGGTGACAACTGCCACTCAATAATGTTATCTGTGTTTGTCAGACACTAGAGATTTGGTAAATGCTTTTAGTATGTAGTGTATTTTTATACAGCTACATGCACTAATTTATTCAAACCATAACATCATAAATATTTCAATACTACTGGTAAACATTTTTGGTGCTTTTGAAATAAAGTTGTAGGACTTTGTAATGGTGCTTCAAGTATGTCAATTAGGGAAAAACTGCTCTACTCAGCTTGCCAACCAATCAGCACTCAGTAGCGGTAATGCCAACCAATCAGCACTCAGTATCGGTAATGCTAATCAATCAGCACTCAGTAGCAATAATGCCAACCCATCAGCACTCAGTAGCAGTAATGCTAACCCATCAGCACTCAGTAGCAGTAATGCTAACCAATCAGCACTCAGTATCGGTAATGCTAATCAATCAGCACTCAGTAGCAATAATGCTAACCAATCAGCACTCAGTAGCAGTAATGCTAACCAATCAGCACTCAGTAGCAATAATGCCAACCAATCAGCACTCAGTATCGGTAATGCTAATCAATCAGCACTCAGTAGCAATAATGCCCACCAATCAGCACTCAGTAGCAATAATGCCAACCAATCAGCACTCAGTAGCAATAATGCTAACCAATCAGCACTCAGTATCGGTAATGCTAACCAATCAGCACTCAGTAGCAATAATGCTAACCAATCAGCACTCAGTATCGGTAATGCTAATCAATCAGCACTCAGTAGCAGTAATGCTAACCAATCAGCACTCAGTAGCAATAATGCTAACCAATCAGCACTCAGTAGCAGTAATGCTAACCAATCAGCACTCAGTAGCAATAATGCTAACCAATCAGCACTCAGTAGCAGTAATGCTAACCAATCAGCACTCAGTAGCAATAATGCTGACCAATCAGCACTCAGTATCGGTAATGCTAATCAATCAGCACTCAGTAGCAATAATGCTAACCAATCAGCACTCAGTATCGGTAATGCTAATCAATCAGCACTCAGTAGCGGTAATGTCAACCAATCAAATCTCAGTAGCAGTAATGCTAACCAATCAGCACACAGTAGCAGTAATGCTGACTTTTTAGCACTAACCGTTCATTTTAAAAACACCGGCTGAGACATTTTTGTTTGTTTACCGTTTTAAACAGGCAGGATATGATGTGAATTCAGCTGATCAGTTTCCCCCTCTTACTTATTCCTCTTCACCTTCCAGTTTAAAAGTGCCATCACAGCAGCGCTTTATTACCAGGCCGCACCAGCTTTCAGACACGTCAGGGTTGATCAGCGACCTTCACCCCCACAAAACAATCCGATACAACCTCCAACTTTACACTCATCATCTGAAAAGTCAGCCCGTTTCAATAAAAACATACAGGACAGCAAGATAAGAGGTGTAATCAAAGAATTCTTTTGGATTGAATATGTTAAAAAACAGCAGCTCACACCATTCTGTCATGCATTCATGACGTCAGACCACTATTATCACAGCAGCACCTCATGTTGAAAAGCAAGGACATTAACGGGCATCTCTGTTTCACCTGCTAGCACGACCGCGGCGCTACTGTACTGTACTGCTGTACATGTGTAGAGTGAAGTTAGCCTGGACCATTCGTAGGACTGAAGGTCATCACTGCAAAGAGGCTTGGAAAAAAGGTACATTTTACAGTACAGACACGACGTCTTTGTGAAGGAGGAGACTGAAATCTGACCTTCGCCATCAGATTCAGGCCACAATTGCTGGTGGATTGCTGGTTATATGGCTGAGTTTGACCAGTCAGATCAGATTTAATGTGTTTTTTCATCATATTTTTTCACGTTGTATGCTGTAGTTTACAGTGACCGCTTCATTAAAACATTTAAACTTTGAATATCACTACAGCCTGTAGCTGCTTAGCAGTCTGCTGACCAGGTCAGCCTACACCAGGGGTCATCAGCATGCGGCTCTTTTACTGCCCTGTTGCGGCTCCACAGCAGAATCAGATTAGTAGGTAAAAATAAAATAATCCTCCTTTACAGTAAAATAAAGCTCTGCTGATCGTTCAACACAGTTTTAAGCCCTAAATGGTCTTAAACTCTGGAGTTAATGTAGAACTGCTAATTCACCCTTTAATCCTGAGAGTTGGCGCGCAGATTGCTTGTTACCATAGCAACACAGACCACACCTAGCTAGTCGCTAACGAAGAGAAAGAGAGAGATTTAAAAGGAACATCGATAATTTGGAGACGAATGGACTTGGCATTTATAACCACTCAACAGGTTTCCTGATACGTTTAATCTGTCAAACGAAGCTGAAGTCGCTTCTCATTCGCCAGCTTCTTGTTCGAATTTCCCCGGTCCACCTTAAATGATGCCGCAGTTACGTTCACATGCCATTTAAGGTGGAACGGGAAAATTCTAACAAGCAGCTGGCGAATGAGAAGCTGACTTCAGCCTCAAAAATCAAATGCTGAGAGACATTTTACAAGAAACTGTTCTACTTTTGCAGAAAAGTTTCCTGCCGGAGATGCAAGAAAAGCGGCTTTAGCTGAGCTAAAGTTAAAGCAGAGCAAAGTGAGTCTGTGTTTATGTTTATATTATATTTTTTAGCCTGTACTAGTACATTATTACAGACTGAAACATACAGCCTAGATGGTAAAATGGACATAAAATATTGTGGTTTGATTTTTGCTGTAAGGTCAAAATGGCTCTTCTTAACATTTGGGTTGCGACTCCTGGCCTACACATGATGTCACATGGCAACCACAATCCTGTTTCTGTGAATTGTAGGGCGTTTACACAGACTGCCTTTCATTTCCTGGACACGTAGCCAAATCGTAGCCTGACCCTGGCCTTAAACTTACCGTAACTTTCGCCTTTTCTTGATCAGTTCAGTTCAACCTAAAACTGAGTGATTTATGTTGTGGGGACCAGTTTGTGGAAGAGAAGTCCCCACAATGTGAGTGTACGAACAGCTTTTGATCCTCACAGTGTGGCATAAACACATACACAGGCACACAGGCGCGCACACACACACACACACACACACATACACACACACACACACACACACACACACACACACACACACACACATACACAGGAACACACACAGAGGAACATACAGGCACATACAGACACACCCACAATCATATACAGGCAAGCAGAGGTATACACACACACACACACACACACACACACACACACACACACACACACACACAGGCACACACACAGGAAAACATACAGGAAAACACACAGGAAAACACAGGCACACCCACACACCCACACACCCACACACACACACACACACACACAGAGTTGTGCACACACACATACAGACACACCCACAATCACATACCCAGGCACACACAGACACACACAGGTACACATACAGGCACACACACCCCCACAATCACTTACACAGGAACACACAGCACAGGTCCACACACACACACACACACGCAACCGGTATGGATATGCGAGCAAACGCGACCATCCGAATCTGATTTGGTCCCTTGAAATCTGAACAGTCCGTCTAAAAAGTGAGACACAAGAAGTAAATCCGAACTGCCCTGCAGAGTGACCGCAGCCTCAGTGAGTCTCACATGAGAGGTGAGAAAATACAACAACGAGCCAACTAAAGGAAGCAGAGGAGAAGCAAATGAAAAGCGAAAGAGAGACGACAACAGAGAGGAAATAGCTCCAGCAAAACAAACAGTGCTATCTGAGTGACTACACTGTAACGGGCCAATAAAGGCTTGAGTCAATAAAGAAAAGCAAACAAAGGCTTGGACACCGTCCCAGAAAGACCCGCATGACTTCTCCAAGACTCACTTAACAACTCCACATTACAGCATTACAGTACGGCCTTCAAGTTCACACAGTACACACCCCCATGACCTAGCGGGAACTCTCACACACGCACACTAATTCCGTCTGCTAGAGCTTGTTCCAGGAACACGGGTGTGACGTCCTTATCTGGAATGACCACAACACTTTACAGCTGTCTGCGAAAGTCTGATGAACTACATGCTCTGCCGAGTTTCTAAGTGTGGAATGCAGTTTCGATTTATTTGAAAATAGAAGGCATAAAATATAAAATGTGCCACAGATGTGCACATATTACGTTTTGTGTATTATTATTTTTACCAATAGGTTCAATTAAGCAAATAAACAGTAACTGTATTAAAATGTGCCTTTGTGTTTTCTCTGTAGAGGATGTGTTCACTTATATGTTTGACCAGGGGGGCACAAACTTTTGTCAATGTAAAATAGCCCTGGTTTTAAATAATACATAGTTTTATTTTCATCTACAATTTTGTTCTGATTTAATTTAAATTGCTTACTGGCTCTGTCCTAATAAACACACACACACACACACACACACACACACACACACACACAATCCTGTTTCTGTGAATTGTACGGACTTTACACAGACTGCCTTTCATTTCCTGGAGACGTAGCCAAATCGTAGCCTGACCCTGGCCTTAAACTTACCATAACTTTCGCCTTTTCTTGATCAGTTCAGTTCAACCTAAAACTGAGTGATTTATGTTGTGGGGACCAGTTTGTGGAAGAGAAGTCCCCACAATGTGAGTGTACGAACAGCTTTTGATCCTCACAGTGTGGCATAAACATATACACAGGCACACACGCGCACACACACACACACACACACACACATACACAGGAACACACACAGAGGAACATACAGGCACATACAGACACACCCACAATCATATACAGGCAAACAGAGGTATACACACACACACACACACACACAGACACACACACACACACACACACACACACACAGGCACACACACAGGAAAACACACAGGAAAACACACAGGAAAACACAGGCACACCCATAATCACACACAGGCATACACAGTCACATACACACCCACACACACACACACACACACACACACACAGAGTTGTGCACACACACATACAGACAAACCCACAATCACATACCCAGGCACACACAGACACACACAGGTACACATACAGGCACACACACCCCCACAATCACTTACACAGGAACACACAGCACAGGTCCGCACACACACACACACACACACAGGTACACACACACACAATCACACACACAGATATACACACACATACACAGGTGTGCACACACACACACAGTGGTCAGTCTGGTGACACTAATAAACCTGCAATAAAAGGAAAATGGATCAATACCTATAACAGCACCTCTCTATGAGAACGAGACGTTCCAGTAGAGCTTTAATTAAAAAAAAATAAAAACTGCTTCCGTCTTGCAGGACAAATCTTTTCCCACCCTTACGATCAATCTCAGACTTTCCATCTTCATCTGACCCAAACATACAGTCTCAGACAGCTGGTGCCGACTGAGTCTGCAGGTAAAACATTTACAGATAATCAGCCCTAATGTGTGACCTTTCAGATAAGAGATAAGCAGCAGTGCAGTGTCTACTGGAGCAGGACTACAACTCATTTACTACATGGCTTAAAGCCCAGCGCTACTGTAAACACTGGAGAGTACAGGCATTTTAACCATTTCTGCTATTTGAACATTCACATTCTTAAACAAATAGTATTTGAAGAGTCCAAGACTCAGATATATATGTGTATCTATCTATCTATCTATATCTATATATATATATATATATATATATATATATATATAAGTAGCAAAGACTAAAATAAGTTTGGATATCCACATGGTCCCCCTTACCTGTGCCGTCAGGTGTGGAGCGGACGAAAGTAGGCAGCATCTTGACCGAGGCGGTCAGGTTGGTGTCCTTACCCAGTCCTTTGTCCATCTCCCTCCTGAAGCGCCTGGACACATCCATGAGGTTCTCATCTGAGAGCCGCATGTGATACAGGTACTTGTCCACCTGAGAAAAGAGAGAGGGCACAGGTGAATGACCATGGAGAGGTACAGTAGTTTTGCTCACACTGTGTCCATCCAAAGGTGTACACTAATTAAGGCAATAGTTCAGCAAAAAAATCAAATCAGCCAGGATATGGTTGCTTCTTCAGTTTGGACAAATGTCCAGACAGCCCTTCAAATGAGTGAATTCAGCTACTTGAAGGTGACACAAGTGTTCAACTGTGCACTCACAGCTTCTATAGAAGAGCACCAACCAATAGAACGCTGTGAAGAAGCTGCACATGAGCCCAAGGTTATCACACCCAATGTCAATCCAATACCTTTGGGATGAGTTGGAGTGACCCAGAACTGACCATCCAACATCAGTTTTTTGGCTATGTGACACACATTTGTCCATTTGTATAGATGACAGTCAATTTTTTAATCGAGTTCTTCTGCCTGAGTTTGTAATTGGAATTTTATTTCTTTATTTTATTTAGCATTTTTAACACACACACACACACACACACACACACACACACACACACACACACGTATATATACAAGGTTTTCCTCTGACAATAGCGATATCTCCATTTTTGTTGTTTTTCAGTTTTTGACATATTTTGAAAATGCCTGTTGATCTTTATATTGTGTGCAAATTTCATGATGAACGGATCAAAAGAAACGGCCCAAAATGACCTTATATTAGGTATATTAGATATATATATATATATATATATATATATATATATATATATATATATATATCTTCTCACACTCTTCCTCCTCTCCTCCTCTGTACTTCCTCTTACACTCTCTCTCTCGCTCTCATTCATTCAAATTGTTTTTTTCTAACTGTGTCTGTGCTGCTCCCCTACGCCAACTTACTGATACTATCAATATTGTACCCTCCCTTCCTCTCTCCCTCCCTCCCTCCCTTCCTCCCTCCCTTCCTCCCTCCCTTCCTCCCTCCCTCCCTCTCTCTCTCTCTCTCTCCCCCTCTCCCTCTTTCTCTCTCTCTCTCTCTCTCTCTCTCTCTCTCCCTCCCTCCCTCTCCCTCCCTCTCTCTCTCTCCCTTATTAGAGTTACGAGGTTTCTGCTTTTTCAGGCCCGTATTCATCCTGGAAATGAGCTCAGAAATATACATATGTATACACATTCTATATATATATATATATGTGTGTGTGTGTGTGTGTGTGTGTGTGTGTGTGTATAAATAGTCAGTTTGACTAGAGAAACTTACAGACCCAGAGTTCTTTACAGTGGTTTATGGATTTACAGATTTCTTTACAATGTCTACAACACAAATACAGACATTTTATTTACTATCCAAAACCACCAGTGAACCTACACGAGTCTTCTGAGCGTCTATATGTAATGTTCTGTACTGTAATGTAATCTGTAAAAATGTGTTTTTTTTGGTGGGGCATGATATGTCCATCCAAAACCTTCTCAAATTATACTAACACAATGTCTCAGGCAACGTATTCATAACCATTTAATGTAATACCTTTCTCTGAGGCAGCTTTTAGAGGCACTAAACTATTCAGACGTCTGGCACCTTTCACCACCACTGTGAACAATTTTGACTCAGTAAGTAGTGCTAACCGCGAAAATATGCAGGGCAGTGGTCTCTCTAGAGCAAAGGTTTGAGAAACCAGTGCAACAACAGCAACAAGACAGACAGACTTGAAGGGTTTGCTTGAGAGTCAGACAGAATTTAAATTCAGCAAACAACTCCCAAAAAAAACACACCCAAAAAAAAGGCTCTGAAATCAATGCCCACCCTGCAGGGCAGCTGTGCTGAAGCGCTGTAACAATCAATCATATTCGGTATTTCAGTAATCTACCAATTATTTTTATAATTTTAAGTCATTTTAAATTTGAAAAAAGACTGATCAATAAAAACAGACTTAACTGAACAATAACAAACCATGCAGAGCCTTTCAGGGATTCCAAAATGAGGCACTGGACAGGTGAGGAAGCATTTAAGAAGAATGAATTATATGTGTAATTATTTGTGTATGTGAATATAAATGGTTGAGTCCACTGGGTTCTGTTTCTTACTGTAAGAGATGACAGTAAGAGAATATAAAAATGTGCATTATCATATTATAGACTACCAACTAATTACTGAACATTCACTGAGAAGCAATCTTTTTTTTGCTAACACTTTATTTGGAGTGGTCCTTTGTAGATGATTAATAAACTCTTAACAGATTATCAGTAACACATCAACAACATATCAGTGCAGTAGCTGTAGTGAAGCACCTGAATACACTGAAGTAAACATCTTGTAGATGTTCTGTTGATACATTACTTACATTAAGTAGATGTGTTGTTAATATGTTACTTACATTACGCAAAACCTAACCTTACCTAAAACCTAACACTAACCCTGAGCCTAATCCTAACCCTAACCTAACCCAAAACCTAACCCTCACCCTGGGCCTAATCCTAACCCTAACCTTTACCTCTACCCAAAACCTAATGCTAACTCTGGCCCTAATCCTATCCCTGACCTTAACCTCAATCCAAAACCTAATCCTAACTCTCACCCTGGGCCTAATCCTAACCCTAACCTAACCCAAAACCTAACCCTCACCCTGGGCCTAATCCTAATCCTAACCCTAACCTCAACCCAAAACCTAATCCTAACTCTGGCCCTAATCCTAACCTTAACCTCAACCCAAAACCTAACACTAACCCTGGCCCTAATCCTATCCCTGACCTTAACCTCAACCCAAAACCTAATCCTAACTCTCACCCTGGGCCTAATCCTAATCCTAACCCTAACATCAACCCAAAACCTAATCCTAACTCTGGCCCTAATCCTGACCTTAACCTCAACCCAAAACCTAATCCTAACTCTCACCCTGGACCTAATCCTAACACTAACCTAAACCTCAACCCAAAACCTAATCCTAACTCTCACCCTGGGCCTAATCCTAATCCTAACCCTAACCTCAACCCAAAACCTAATCCTAACCCTGGGCCTAATCCTAATCCTAACCTTAACCTCAACCCAAAACCTAATCCTAACCCTCACCCTGGACCTAATCCTAACGCTAACCTTAACCTCAATCCAAAACCTAATCCTAATCCTCACCCTGGCCCTAATCCTAACCGTAACCTTAACCTCAACCCAAAACCTAATCCTAACCCTCACCCTGGCCCTAATCCTAATCCTAACCTTAACCTCAATCCAAAACCTAATCCTAACTCTGGCCCTAACTCTTGGGATTCAGTGTGAGTGGGCGGGGCTAAACTGCTATAGGCTGAATAGACAGATGTATGTAAATGTGTGGGGGTTTTTTTCAAAGTAGGCTGTTTGTGCAGCTCAGTTCCTATAAATGTATGGAGTCTAGTCTGTTTCTAGACTTTAACGTTTACATATTACATCAAACTCCTTGGTTTCATAAAAGTGAGGAAGGTTTTCCACCTTAACGTAAAAAACACAGTTTGTTTACAGCCCCACTGTGCTGTGTAACTGTAACTCATGAACAATGCCAGGCATGAGAAACACGACCGCATGTAGAAATACACACACTAGCCCCGCCCATCATAGACAAACATAGACCGTAACATTCAAACAGGCTGAGGAAAAGGTCAGCGAGTTCGAAAGGCCAACCGTCACTTTCCATGAGTCATTAGAACCACTGGGTTTGTACGCTAGACGTAATACAATCGCAGAGGCACACTGTGACTCTCCTTGATGACTCTTATGAACAGAGAAGCTAAAATGTCCCCACATTGCTCCACATACAAAAGACTCACAGGTCACACGCTGATAATTCTCGCAGAAACTCGAGCTGCATGTCGCAGGGGAGGAAATACATCAGCGCAGCTCACTTCCTCATGCCGAAAGGCCCCGTTTTCCGTGTTGAGAGGACGAAGTTCGAGCCAATCATTTGAATATGTTTAGTATGTAAGAACTGGGACTATTATATGAAAAGCGCCATGCTGAAAATATTAAGTTGGAAAAAATAATGTTCCATTTAACTTCACTTTAAGTCAAAACGGGTTGTGTTTGCTCTTATTTCCAAAACAGATGAAGAAAGTTAAGTTTTCCTTGTTTAAATTAAGTTTTCCTTTAAAATAAAACAGAAAAAAAAATCATTTTCTAAAGCCCTACACTCTTAAAAATGCTGCTTCCAGGGTTCTTTAGTAAAGAAAATAGTTCTGTATAGAACCATGAACAACCAAAGAACCCTTTGCATGATTAAATGGTTCTTTGCATCATAAAATGGTTCTTCAGACTTCCAGAAGAGAGAAAATGTGCTGTAGACGGTTCTATACAGAGCCTTTTTGAAAAGGGTTCTGATATTGTTTCGAGGTCAAACTTGAGAGCAGAACCCTTTTTGGTGCTATATGGAACCCTTTCCAAAAAGGTTCTACATATAACCATCTACAGCACGTTCTCCATCAAGATCTAAAGAAAGCATTCACAATGGAAAGAACGCTTTAAGGGTTCTTTGAGTGTTAACGGTACCATAAGATGAAGAACCATTACTTGTGTCAGGGAGGTTGAAAGGCCAACTTTGCGTCAGTCGCGCTGTTTAAGTTTCACAGCGAACCATTCGATCCATATGTTGAATCCGAGCGGCAAAAACAGCCGTTTTGAATTCTTTCTTTTTGTGATGTCACAAACAACAGCACATTTGCATACATCCACTAACTCAGCCTATCGGCAACTCACGTTGAAGTTATATGGAGCGCTTCTGTCCGAACTGTTCTGTGAATGAGGGCGGCCGAAAGGTCATTTACAAATATATCTTTTTTTTATTTATTTTTTTTTTTTAATCCCTAAACCAGAATTCCTTGGCCACACACCCCACTTTTACAGGGACAATACTTTTTCTTTTTCATTTCACTATTAACATCACAACTCATCATTTATGAACAATCATACAGATATAAGGTGATTGATGTTTTTGTTACTGCATTATAGTTTTATTAAATCAATACAGCCATAACAATTTATGTAAAAATCGCAGATGTTTAAAATATCACAAGTGGTCA